AGTTTTCATTATTTATACTGATGAAGAAAAACCATAAATGTGATATATGTTATGTAGCGCAATCTATCGTTGTCATTTCTGTCATCAGGGATCCCGATTAGGGGGGGGGGCGGCTGTGGGGGGGCCAGCCCCCCACAAAATTTAACAAATAAAAAGTTGTTTCTGCGAAAATTTTTGCTATATTTTGGGTTATTCGAGCAGTATTGATTACAGTACGTTCGTGTACCGTCAATTACGATGTTTCTTTTCTAGTAAAAATGTTGATTTATGCACTTTGCTGTTAAATGAACATTCTCGTTCTGCAGTTATTCGTTTCTGTTTGTGACTCCGCTGTTTCATTTTCTATTTGTGCCAGAAAATCTGTAGTTTCTACCTTTTACTTCTGTCGAAAAATCTAGCCATTCTATTTATTTCTGTCAGAAAGTCCACTCACTCTATTTGTTATTTTATTTCTGCGAGGAAGTCTATTCAGTCTAATTGTAATTTCTGGCAGAAACTCTATTCAGTATAATTTTTACTTCTGGCAGAAAGTCTAGCCTTGCTATTTGTTATTTCTGCCAGAAACTTCACTCACTCTATGTGTTACTTTATTTCTACCGGGAAGTCTATTCAGTCTATTTCTTATGCCTGGCAGAAAGTCTAGCCTTTCTATTTGTTACTTTTCCCAGAAATTTCACCGCTGTTGGTGGGCGTTCTGAATCTGTCTATTTTATACGCAGTCCCATGTCGTTGAAGCCGTAGATATCTGATATATTCACTATAATCACTTAGTTTCCGAATGTTGAATTTTATTAAAGGTGGCGCCATAAAATTAGTTGTTCGCTAATAAATAACCAACAGGAAAATTAATCATGCTATATTAGTTAGAGAATGCACTATGGAATACTTATTCAAATTTTTTTTGAACTGCAATGACTATGTATATACTGAACAGATTGAGTTAGAAAAAAAAATATGAAAAAAAATGATAAACGTAGAGAAACCGCATTGAAGTGGTGATAACCGTTCGCTTTGACGAAAACTGAGTAGCATGGGATGATATTTATATGTGACATCATTTCAGATTTTTTTAAATATGATTTCAAAAATAGTTCATACAACTAGTTGTACAGTAAAGTGTCCTATTTGTGGAAAACCAATGCTTCTAAAAAACTGGAAAGATCATTGTCGGCAATTTCATGCCATGTCGCAAACAGCGATTGATTGCAAATATTATGAGTTGAAAAGATATATAGAACAGTCAAATTTAAGTACAGTAACATTAGATACAACAAAATGTAACATTATTTCTTGAATCTGATCAATTGAAACAGAAAGATGATGAGTTTTGAAAAAAATTTTTAAATATTACTTTTTATACATATGTTGTTTTTACTTATTTTTAATTAAAATGAATTTAGATCATCTAAGTTAGATGATGATATTATAAATCAAGGATTTGCTTTTTGACGTATACTGTCTGCCAAAAAAAATATAGTTTCTGCCAAAATGTAGCCCCCCTCACTTCCAAAAGTAATCGGGAACCATGCGTACAGTACTACACAAATACATTCTATTTGAATTAATTTTTTCACAATCGAATAGAACAGACTCTGACTTTTTCACGTCATTATAATTCTTTTTTTGCTCCTCTTTGCGATATACTTGTATATGTTAGAGGGAAGATTAAAATCTAGGGGAATTTAAAAATTTTCTCTTTCCTATGTTTTTTATATATAAAATCGAAGATTTTAATTTCACCTAGGGCAAATTAAAATTCTTTCCTTTCCTGCCGATTTCATATGAAGATTCAAAGATTCTAGTTTCACCTAGGGCAAATTAAAATTTTAAATTCCCCTAGACAATATTAAATACATTATTTTTTTTTTGTTTCATATTTCCATGAAAATAACTGTATTATCTATCAAAATAACATAGTCTTTCAAAAACATATGGTATAAAAAAAATAGAAATAACTTGAATAGAACAACAAATCGAACATTAGAATCTCCCCGGTCGAAGAAAACGATCAGTAAACGGTCGTATACGATACAAATACGGCACGTAAAACTGGCCGTATTTTCCCCGTGTAGCAGGGGCAGTAATACGACCGTATGTTCTATAGAATACGATAATGTTACGCCTGCTTTGCGAGGTTTTACGGCTGATATACGGTGTCCGTGTACGGGCGTAATACTGACCCTGTTAAAACGCCTTAATACGGCCGTCTCACGGCGGAATACGATGCAAAACGACCGTTTACGGTAATATTACGCCGGTTTACGGTGGTTCGTTTTGATCGACCTGGAGAGTATCAAAAGCAAGTCAATACAATTAATATGATTCAACAGCATATGACTCTATTTGGAAAAAAAACTGATGCAATTCTGAAGTTGAATGAACTGTCGACATTTAACAATAATGGCAAATTAATAAGGTATGCCACTAAGAATATATTGATAGTTTCTCATGGATCAGAATAGTTAAAAAGAGCAGTAATTTTTTTGCTAATTATTTTTATGTTCTCTAAATCTACAATTAATAAAAAAATCTTTTTTAGTGATGAACAGAAAGAACAATCAAAAAATACAATGTCTGACGTTTAATTGTCATTTGAAGTAAGCGTTTGTCAATGAAATTAATATTTTGCTATCATACAATGTTGTTTAGATTAATGTTGTGTCGAGGCCGACATTTCTCAATTATTTTGTTTATGAAAGTAAATATATTTTTCTTTTTATAAGTAAAGGGCCATTTATTTCTTATATCAATAGGAAACGAATTCTGTTATCCACTATTTAACAAAAACTAATTGCTCATCTTTGAATTCTCTACTCCAATTGCTGTTCTTAATTTTTCTATTCAACAGTCACCTGACAATTAGTTATTGGTAATTGGTACTCAATTACATGGATACGTTCCTGTCGTTCTTTATCTTACAATTCTATACTTAATGTTCGTTTGCGCGAGATTGCTCGTGAATCTGATTCTCATAATTTAAGTAAAGCTCAATACTGCGATATTCACATGGAATCAAAACCAAATCAATACTTATCCAAGTTTCATTGAATGTAACTAACGATCTGTACGCTTCAATTTTTCTAATGTATGATTTGCTCTATGCTTTGTATCTTAGTCACTGGAAATGGTATAACAGAAAATCATGCATGATTGCAGCTGTTTTATCGATTTCACATTTTTTTATGTAGAAATACATATGAATATCATTAAATATAAAAATAAAATAAAGTTTAATATCTATTATAGAAATTATTAGTTAAAACTATATTCTTGACGGTTCAAAAGCAATCTGATGATTTTTGGTATATCTAAATTTGAACAAAATATATTAACCAACGTATCAGAAAGGAGAGTTTAGTGATAGAAAATTAAAAATTATAAGTGAGATTTTGCTTTGTATTTCATTTTTTTTTCTGGCAACAATAAATTAAAATAAGTATTCTTAGTGTCGGTTGTCACAGTTCTAAAAATATATTTTCTATACTTATAAAACAGAAATAAAAAATAATTGCAATATACCACGAGAAAATTATACTATTGCATGGTGATGTTACTGGAGAGTTCGCAAAAGGTAGTTCAGTCGAAAAGAAAACAGCGATATCAAAAGAACTGATATTTTTTCTTGTTTCTTTAATTGTTCTCTAAGTAGTACCGACATTTTCTAGTTTTGAACGAGTTCGAGTTCATCAAGTGTCAATGCACAAATAAAACGAGTGTTACAGCTGTTAAGAAAATAATCAATGAACTGCAAGTAACTTGGCTATTCCATAAGATATTCATAAGCACGTACGCTTCGGCATCATTAGATGCGATTATAAATTAGGCATAATTTGGTCAATAACTACATAAAAGTCAAATTGATAATGAATGAGGTTAGGAATATATTTTACTGCATTATCTCGTGAAACATCAGCTGGATATTGTACCATTTCATTGTTGACTTTATTTTCATTCAAACCAAAAGAACTGTAGGTCTGTGTTAAGTGAAGAAAAGAGAGATGACAAAAAGCATCACATATGGCAAGATCATCAAACTATTCATTCCGATAGTCTCAGAATAATTGTTTTATTTATGTTAAAGTAGATTTAATACCTAACTTGACAAGAAACGGAGTATATGAAATTTTCTGAGTAGATGTCTAATTCGACTTCGAATATAAAAAGAAAAGCGAAAAAAACCGCTTTCATGTTTACTTAGGAAAATACCAAAAGAAAAAGTTTTCCTTCTGATATAATTCGATTTCGAATTAGGACGACGGTTCAGATATGCTCCCTCCCTTCACTCTACCGCTTCGGTAGTCCCTTCTTCACGCCCACAGTGTAAAGGTACCGTCCCTCCCGCAATCCCTTCTTCATACCCTCATCGGTACATGTTGACAATTGAAAATTGAATTATATAAAAACGAAAACTTTATCTTTGCCTTTTGCAATAATTATAAATGGAAGAGTCGTTCTTGTTATTTTCGAATTAGGCATCTCATGCTAAATTTTGACCAAAGTTCAGCAAATCAATAGATGTTCTAATACTGGTTTTCTAAACGTTTGTTTAAAAATTTTCCTATCACATTTCATGTTGGAATTCTCTCTTTTCAGCAATGCTGCTTATTTTTCCTTAAATAAAAATAAGAACCTCACGATATTGTCCGATAAAACAAATAGTACGCTACGAAATTCTTTATTCGACTCGTTATAAAAATGACTTTAAATACAATACATTGTGAAATAATAGCATGCGATTTAATCGAATCAACATCAATAGAAATAGGTGAACAACATCATACTCTTTGTGCCCTAATGCGTTACCAATTGACTCGGATTGATTTGAACAAGAACAAAAACAGTGCACAAATTATTTCTCAAAGTAATAGAAAATTTAAGAGAAACATTAGTAATCAGCAGGATAATGATTAGATGATCAGTATCGCCAAGATGAATCGATCCTAGAACAAAAAATCTTTTCTACTAATAAAATTCAATGAAGAAGAAAATACAAATCACATTCATAATGGGAATCGTGTAAATTGTTTTAATGCATCATTTGCATCTGTGATATTTAATGTAGTCGAATCTCCTTTTACCCAACGATTAACTCGATATGCTGATGGCCAATCAGCTTCACAAGCAATAATAGTACAACCCTAAGAATAAATTTAAAAGAAAAAAAAACAAATATTTTAATAAAATATTCCATACTTTTTCTTGAATTAACCGTTTTGTTATTTCTGCTTGATGTGCATAAAATTCATGTGAACCTAAATATTGATTAATATTCTATTTTTTGATTAATGCTTTTTTTTTTATAAAAAATTGTACCATGTGAAACTTCGCCGATTATCACAATATGAGTATTTCCAATTGCCACTATTATTGAATCATAATCATCTGTTGCATTTTGTCGTAAACGATTTGCATTTTGTTGAACTAATTGTTATACTTTACTATTTGATTTTGATATTGATGCCATTAACGATAAACTAAGTGTAACATATAGCATCCTATTCATCAATTAAAATTTATGTATACAAACAGTGTTCAGAAAGAATTGTGTGAGTGTATATATTAGCCTAAATTGATACTAAGCTATCCATGATGTTTTAGTCAGAAATGATTCCTATACAGAGACAAACTTCAATTAATCCAACACATTAAGAAGATTTACGAATCAAACTTGAGATGAATTGGGTCTGGTCTGCCATATTGAATGATTGATCGGTCAAGAACTGGAAGAGCTTGGATGTCCGACCAAAACTTAAGCCTAACCCTTTCAACCGCATATTGCCTACTCTTCAAATACATTTCTGAAACATATCATTCTGCCGTGAATTTAAGAGTGTACAAACTTCAGATACTGCTGTCACTTAAAACAGGTCAAAACTGAATGAGATAATATAAAATTTAACGAAGATGCTTCAACTTAAACTTTGATTTTAACACTGATATTGCACTTAAAGTGTCCTGTATTGTTTGTATGATTCTTTAACATCTAATTATGAAGTATAACTGGAAGCAGTACACAATTTCTACATTTTCAAATGGAAGCAGCTAAATGATAGAAATTGTATTTGCCCTTTAATTTTATGCGTGTAGACTCTCGTCTATTGATCTGCAAGTCATAATTCTACCATGTATCCTTGAATTTTTGAATACTTGGAGGAAAGTAGAGTTGAGCGCTTTAATTGCACCGTTGCTCAATCGCAAAATTTTCTAAATAACATCATTTTTCAGTGCCAATATTATTAGTGAGTGAAGCAAATCGACTGCACAGTTCCGGGCTGAAGATTGCTCATTTAAGTAATTACTAATTTCTTAACTTTCATCCCAATTACTTTATCTACTTCTGCCATTGTTGACTACTGAATATAAAAGAACTGAACTCGTAGAATGCTTTTTTTGTTCTATTATTATCTCAGTGCTTCCATCATGTACTTCTGCGACGAGTATTCTGCAATAGACTTACATCTTAAATAGAAAAAAAAAGGAAAGCCACTTAGTAATCTAAACGAATTACTTGGTTTTAAAAAACTTCGGACTATATAGCTATTTCACTTTTGAATAGATTAAATTTCATAAACAACAGACGCTTTATATTTTCCATCGAATGAAGTACGAAATTGAAAATTTTTTAACACCACCTGATTATACGTACTGAAAAATAAAACCCATTGTAAGTGTAACCGGACGAATTCAATACATAACAATCCATCAATTTTCCACTCGAAATCGATACACTTAACTAAACGTGAGATTTTTATCATATTGAACTAAACCGCTAATATGTTGTAGAGAAAGTTGAACTGAACAACTTTTGTTCTAGGACCAAGGGTCAATTTTGAAGTTCGATAGCAGAGAGAGACGAAATTACATTATATCAGATACTGTGCATGCATTTTGAATAGATCCGTTCTAATAAGGGATAAGATTTACCATGTGCGTTCTAATTAGAGACATGCACTTATTTAGAACGTTTTTTATGCAATTAATGGAGATTGTTTTGATGCTATCTAATTAGCTGAGCAACGTATCAAGCTCAATCTCTAGAGAATGATGGAGAAATATGTAATGAATAAGTTGTCTAGCGGATGTTGAGTTCGATTTTAAAGTTTCTAAGCAGATATGACACGATTTTCGAATGATATCCGTTATTCAATGTACTTTTGCTGGCGCGTTCTAATTAGGGACAACTTTTGTATTATAGCGTTCTTATTGAGGATAGTGCTTTTATTTAGAACGGCACCAGGTGACTGTAAACTACCGCTCATAACTCAATCACTTCACAAATTTTTTCAAAACTTTTTTCATAAATAGATGAAAAAGAAATTTTTCTACTTTGCTGCAAAATTTCACCTCATTTGCTCACTATTTCACAGAGATATGATAGTCGAAACATGAACATAAAAAATCACCGTTTTTATTAGGTACATGCACTCTAAGTACGTAAAATAAAGATATGTCAGTTGTAATATTTTGTTACACTGAAGTATGAATCATTATTGATAGTCTGTCGAACTCAATTAATAATTTCATTTGCAAGGTCAAAAATCGAGCGATCACGTTATTACTAATCACCAGCACAAAAATGCTCCCGCTCGATAATAGATATAATTAATATTCCGGTCTAGCTCTTTTGCACACATTTCCTTCATCATCTTTGCATGTATTTTGAAAATAGTCTAGATTCGTTATTCCGTTTTTCTTCCTGAAAAGAAAATGTCCGGGTCAAAGTCGAAATGACTTCAGCGAATTGACTTTAATAGACAAGATGTTGGACTATTTATTGATTAAAAATAAAGAAGAATTTGATGCGCTCTTGACATTCATTAGAGCACATATTTTCGCATTGAGAAGACAATGAGTTCGTATTCTTTTTACAGAAAACAAATTAACAGAATGTTTTTAGAGCTGCAGAAGTTCTCTTCTCGGTTGCTCATGCTGCAGTTCTTCAGGGAAAAATATCCAGTTATTTCCCAAAAGACGATCTATTCACCAAGTTAATTATATCACGACGAAATCTCGGTATTTTCCAACATCATGATGCTGTTACAGGCACAGCTCGAGAACAGGTTGTCAATGATTATGGAGAAAAGTATAGAAAATAAATAAGTTCTACATCATATTTCTATATTTTTGTTCTGATAGACTTCTAGCAGTCATAATACTATCGCAAATTATAATGCAACAGTCTGCTGCTTATCTTCTGTTTCAAAATAGATATTCGATTAAGAGCCAATTTTTACTATCAAATCAAGAATTTCAAACATTTGAATCTCTACCAATTAGAAAATTCGTATCATTTCATAAAAATCATATTATTTATATTTATAATCCTACAGATCAAAGACGACTTGAAATTATCAAAATTCTTCTTCATAAGTATCAAGTACATGTAACTAGTAATAACCAAACAATTACCGACTGTCAAATCGATCCAAAATGGTCTCATAGACGATCCAATATCATAAATGAAAATCAATTCGAAGTTAGAAAAATTTATGTTAAATAATTAAAATGACTTTTTTTCGATTCCTTCAAGCTTCTGATTCTAATTGATATTGAACCATATTCTCTAAAAGAATATACTATTCATGCCGATACAACTAAAAGATCATGTCCACTAAGCACAATTCAATATGTCGATGAAAAACAAATACACACAAATTTATCTACGTTAGTAATGTGCCATCGATACAAATCAGATAGTCTTAGTTATAGATAGCGAAAACATAGATGACATATTCTGACGTATTTGACTGTCTTGATCGATAGGCAAATGTCATGATAATTGAGAAAAGTCATTCACTCTTTGTTTGTTTGTTTACATTTCTTGATCGGTTAGATTTCGGGATAGATTTCATGAGTTGTAATTATTAACATAGTTTGCCATTGTTATCGATTTTCTTTGATAAAAATGACAAAATATAGAGTATTTATTATTTAGACCTTTCAAAATTGAACTGATCGATACAAAAACATTTGAAATAGATAATCGTGTTTTTTCAGTTTTATTCTCGAAAAATGGTGCTATACTCAATGTTCAGCATAAAAAATTCGATGAAAAACTACATTTTCATACAGATCTTATTAGTTATGGAACATTGAGCCAATCGGACCATCATAGCGGTGCATATATATTTATACCAGACGGCGAAGCACGATTTATTCCGATAGGTGATTATGATTTTATACGTATTCAACAAGGTCCATTAGTAAGTCGGGTTCTTATTAATCATAAGCTATATGGTTTACAGTATAAATTAACTAATACCAGCGGTTTGTTAAATGACGATTTGATGTCTAATTAAGAACGATACTATTTTTCTCATTAGGTTCAAATGATGATCTTATTCATGTTAGTACAATAACTCATTTAGATACGAATAAAGATACAGAATTAGCTCTACGATTGTCTACTGGCATTAAAAATGAAAGAGAAATTTTTACGGACTTAAATGGTTTTCAAGTATTGATTTTATTATCGACCAATAGAAAATACATTTTTGTAATCTTTTAATAGATGATACGAAGAAAAACCTATGATAAATTACCTTTGCAAGGTAACGTTTATCCAATGCCTACGATGGCATATATTGAAGATGATTACATGAGATTAAATATTATGGCCGGTCAACCATCTGGTGTAGCATGTTTAAAAACAGGCAAGAGCTCAATGTGTTGCATTTTTGCTTTTGAAGTCATCGATGCGTATGTAATAATTGAGTCTGTAGAAAACCAAATAGCTATTCGTAGTTACATTAAATCGGAAATAAACTGAAGAGATTAATCATCGTTAAGTTTTCGGTTTATTTAAAGAGTTTTCCTAAAGTCACGTTTTCATCACAACAAGCTTTTCTTCAAATGAAAGTGAACGAACATTGTAATAATCGCTAGAAGAAATCCTTCGTTTTCCTTTTTATCGTTCGCATTATTATTAATAGACCGGAGCAAAATCATGAACTTAATAAATGTTAATTGTCCGCTGACACGCCATGTCATTTAACTCAATCAATCAATATTTGTTCTAGGTGTGGTTGATGTTTTTCTTGATCGACGTCTTACTCGTGATGATGGCCGTGGCTTAGGTCAAGGTATTCTGGACAATCGTGAAGTTATCAGTACTTTCAAAATTCTATTTGAATCACGCCATAAAGTACATAGGCTTTATTTTATACAAAACAAAAATAGTATTTCATGTTGACTGCTTTAGATTGCTGATCGAAGTGCACAAACAGGTTATCCAACCCTTCTAGCTCATCAGCTGTCAATTGAATTTCTTTATCCGCTGCATATATTTAATTCGCTGGCATCAAAAATATTTTTCAACGAATTAAAATTATTTCCAAAACCATCACTATTCCCTAGTGATTATCATCTAGTTAACTTACGCACATTAAGTAATAATAATTATAATACTGTACAGCATCGTCCATCGAAAAGTATCGCATTGATTTTAAGACGATTTGCTTATGATTGCGATGAGAATTATGATAAATTATTTCATTTTGAACAGGTAACAAAATTTTTCTATATAAAACTAAAGTACACTTCTTTCTCTCTCTCTCTCTCTAGCCCATATTCGAATATTTCTTCCAAGTAAATCAAATAGAATCAATCGAACAGACATCCTTATCGCTGCGCTATCGAAAACAAAAATTAAATAGTACAGCTAAACTTGATGTTCCGTTCGCCGAAATTGTTACTTATAAACTACGTTTAATCGAATGATACAGAAATGTGATAACTTTTGTTTTTAAGATTATTTTTCATTTTTATATATTTGCTTTGATGAATGATAAAATAAAATCGTTGTTCGATTGTTGTGACTTGGCAAATAGACAATTTGATTATGAATGGAGTAGCGCAAAAAAGATATATCGGCATGTCATAAAATCAATTTAGACAACTATAAATCATTGTTGTCATTCTAAATGCAAAAAGTTTTTTTATTGTTTTATCGTTTGCGAGTTACTGTCTGTTGAATTTAATATTCTAATAAACAAAGCGGAAGCTGCGGTTTTATGAACATCATTTCGATATTCATTATGTATTATTTCGATTGTTCGAGCTAATAGATTTTAATATCCGTTTAGCTGAAGAAGAATCGAAAAATACTCGAGTGTACTATCATTGTATAGTAGCAAGAAAAACAACTAATGTTTATCTATTTTTTCAACGGTCAAAAACACAACTAATAGACATCACAAGTCAGTAGTATTAGAATTTTATACTCTTTGTCCAAATATAGATTTAATTAGAATTCAATTTTTCTTTCACACTTTGTAATAGACACTATCATGTATCAAATTTACGGTTTCACTTTATTGAATTAAACAAGTGCATGCAGTCTGTTTCATCCTTCAAGACAAATTTTGCTGTAATTATTCATGACGGAATGCACTTTTTCTTCAGCATTGACTATGCCTACTAGTTAAATATCATGAAAACACTTATTTCTATTACATAGTATGATTTTCTCACACTAAAACAACATCTATTGTAACATGCAAGCTCTTATGTACATGATAGATAGCATAAAAATTCATTAATCTCCTTATCTAAATGTCATTTTATATCTGTGATAATATTTGTCAAATCAAAAATTAACGATAATTTCAACGCATAAATATTTCCTGTGATTTCGCAAGAAGAAGCATAAAAAAAATAATAAGAACTGTGGAAAATACTCATATCTATGTGTATATGTTGTCTTGAGACTTTTTTTTACTAACAAATGAATCCATATGTCGTCTCTCATTAGATCGTTTTTCATCTGATCAAAAAAAAAATATATATAAATTAATGATCTTAACAAAAGTAGCAGATGGTAATGGCAGCATCGACAGCATAGTGTCAACAGTGTGTTTCTAGCACGCTAGATTTTTTTCCCTATCTCTCTCTCGTTTTTTTGCTTACCGCTTCTTCGGTTTTATGCAAGCAACGCAATTATTTTTGCTTGCTTTCAACAGTAATCATAATGAAATGTCGACAAAAGGTGACAGAAAAAGGAGAGCGCGTGTATGCGGGTGCACATTGTGAGAAAAGAAAACGAACAGAACTGTTTGGCAAAGAGAGCTACACTTTCAGTAATTTACTCATTGTGCTACATTCGCCGGTAAGCTATGAGTAAAAACCGAAGGAAAGAGAGGGAGAGAGAGCGAAGGAAGAAGCCCAACAAATAAACAGGAAAATATATAACGCACGAATAGAGCTGAAAAATGTTGTATCCGATATAACGAGCTTAATTACAACATCGCTAACCAGTAATGCCGTAAGTAAAACTACGTAGTGCTTAATCGAAATGTCAACTCGTTCTTAGTCTGGTGAGAAAACTAAGAAAATAATGTCAGTTAAAAACGTACGAGATGAAAGTATTGTAGTAACATGAATCAATGATCAAGTACTATTATGTCTTTCGTTAGATGATTTCTTTTATTTATTGACGATAACGACAACAATGAAGATGGCGAGAACGAAGAAAACAACAAATATAATAAGAATTTCCCAATGGAAACACTTTCACTTCTTATCATCCATTAAAAAATCAAAGAAGAGAAAAAAGCAACTCGCTAGTTTTAGTATGACACGAAATCCTCCATTGATCGAACACTTAGATTGACATATCGCTATTGCCGTTCAAATGATTGCTTTTTGCTGTACTACAGAGTCGACTTCTTTCGACATTATTATAACTAACTGTCAAATCAATAAGTCAAACTTCAGCGTTATTTCGCCTTAACCTACTTACTATTAACTAAGCATAGCAGCGTATAAGTATATAGTGGGATGCATAGATACATAGATAAAAAAAACGGAAAAGAATAGAGCGGAACGCAACACATTAGCCCGAATTTGTTGTTGTAGCGATGATGAAGAAGCACGCAGGAAAAGAAAAGAAAAGAACAAAGGCGAACAACAAACAGAAGATAGTAGCTTAAGCAAATCCATAGCAGCGAGAATAATGCTGATGATAGTCTCATCAACTCTGTGCCGATAGAACCATGATGACAGCTGCAACATCTAATACATTGATTATTGGGCACAAATGAGGTGTACGTATGTTTGTCTATGACGTATTGACAAAAATGTTTAGAATCATATTACAGAATTCTAGTCTTCTTTCCCTCTATATAACTCTATGCAGGAATTTTGTTCTCTATCATTTTTGTTTTCAGTTGACGTCTAAGGTTTATCATCTTAATCTTACTTTGTTTTTCTTCTCATACACGTATATATTAATATTTATACCAATACACGCAAAGAGCTATACACGTAAAAATTTGTTTGTTTGTTTGTTTTTAATTTATTTTTGTTGTTGTTGTTGAAGATATGCTTTTAGTCCATTATCCTCATGGTTATGATTTAAAATAGCAATAAGATATCATTTTTCTTTTGTCTTGAATTCGACGTGTTACCGAATGGTACACGATGAAGATTGTAAGTATTCATTATGTTATCAATGCTAAATGCTTTTATACATATATATATATATATAATTCTTGTTATCAAAATAAATGAAATATTTTTATTATTATTATGTTTTTCTTTTATATTACATTTCGACAGAAAGAAAATGTAATTGATAATACCGATTGCATTTCATTTATTTTGATGCCGAGGATATCGTTGTCTATAATATGCATAATTCCTCTTTCTCTGTTTTGTTTTATTAAACCAGCTGTCTAGTGTTTATCTATCTATATTAATCCATCAATTACGTACAATACTGGTTGTTGTCGCAAAGGAAACATGCAGCATGGCAAGATTTGTTTGCTATCAATGTGATTCTCGTGTCGATGACGGCTGCGGTGATCCATTTAAGATGCATCAAGTCAATCGAACAGTTGAATGTGCTGATTATTGCGTTAAATTTTTCCATTCAGAAGGCACATCTGCTAATAGTACATTTGTAAGGCGTGGCTGTTTAAATGATTATGCACTTTATCGCTTATCGAAAATTGATGTTTGTTATCGACATGCGGCTGGAACAAATTTTAGTAGTGGAAGATTTTGTATGTGCGGAAAAGAAATGTGCAATGATGTTTCAATTGAAAAAAGTTCAATTTATTTAATAATCGCAGTACAATTACTATTATTAACTAAATTGAAAAGGATATTCTTCTAGAAACTTTTGTGCCTTGTTATCTATATTTCATGCATGTGTGGGTTTTCTTTTATATATATATATATATATATGTCTAAGATCAACATATGCAGTTTCATTGCCTAATGGCGTACGTATAATCGCTACTTTGGCGAGTCTTCTGTGGTTTTGCTTTTTATTTGTCTAAAGATATTCTCATGATTTAAATTGAATTTCTTTTCAAATGTATAAGTTTTGTAATTATTAATGCAATTAAAATATCATTTTTGTTTTTGTCTTACTTGTTTTAGCGATTGGATACAGTAAATAATTAGGCTTTACTTTATTAACAATTCTTTATTAGAACTTTTAATGTACGAAGACATAAACAACAGACCTAGAAAGAAAGAAAAGCAAACGATGCCATTTCCATGGCACACTTAGTTTTTCTCATTGACTTATATATATTATAATTGATATTTAATTGAATAGAATATTTCTTATCTTCCTCGGACATAAATATTGTCGACAATATCAGAACATGCCGATAGCACAAGTCGCAGCGATGAGAGATTAGTTTTTATTCAATTTTGATCTCGTTTTTTTATGCATGTATCTCAATATAAACTCTATTAAATGGTTATCAAAAAATCTGATTAATCAAAGATTATGTATGATTTTATTTAATAATGTTAATAGGGCCCAAAGGAAAAGAAAATTGTCACAAGTTAACTTAGTCTGATTTTTCGAAGGGCGAAATCATCATGCAAGAAATAAGTTAGTTAGTTAGTCCATTTGTGCAATCCGAGATAAGATTTATGTGACATCTGGCGGTATTTTGGAAAAAAAAATTTCTTTCATTAAATCATAAAGTTTGTTTTCTTCTTCTATTCACTTGCCCTTTATAACTATGATCACCTAGTTTTAATGGATCATTTCTGGATGCAGCAACAATCAAAAATAGACATTTTTTCCTTTCAATAATTGCTGGCGGCAAAAAATTACAATTTATTAATTATTTATAGGGCTTGATTTCGAGATTCTAATAACAACTTTTATGGCTATAGAATATCTTTGAGTGTTATTTATCGATTATAAATTTCTATTTATAAAAATAGATTTACTAATACTAGTCACGAAAAAGTAGATTTGTCTAGTAGAATTCATTGATGCTGGTAAAGTACCTATCAATTTGCAATTAGTAGGCTTTCAGTTAGCTCGCATGCATCACATCTTTGCTTATTACGAAGAAAAGAGAAAATTGAAGAGCAGCACTACATATCTTGAATATAATTACAGGTGTATTACATTCATTGTAGAAACGAAGAAAAAAAGTTATGTGTAATCTTTTTGTTGTGATCGTGCCGCGTATGTTTTCTACCGATGACTTTGCAGCAAAAAACGTCTCTATGAATACGAAGATGAAAGAAGAAGAAAAAAAATAAGAATCTTGCCTAATTTTCTAATAAATAACTTATAGAGATAGATGAGTCTCTTGATAATTGAGCCCACCGACATATGAACTGCCTGACATTCGAGCGCGATACGAAGGACAAATTAACGAAATACAAGATCATAATTTCATTTGAATATGTTAACATCTACATAAACTAGATGGTATCCGAGTTGCATTTGTATACGAAATGCGATGCGAGGTAAGAATACGGATCTTCACGAAAAATCTTCAAATGGAAAACAATCTTGGATGCATTCTATGTCGACATGATGAAATTCATCGCGGAGAAAACTCTATTCTTACTTAACGATCGAATCCGATTGATCGATTAATTATCTCCATGATTCATTGTCTTAGATCAGCGGTAAATGCATTGACTTTAGTAACGAACATATGTTGATGACGCTATTTTAATCATCTCGCAGCAAATCTCTTTCATTTTCGTCATTTTGCAACGATATTTGTAAGCGAACGAAACTTCAGATTGAAGATTCAAAAACTGGCGTACGCAGTTCGATCTTGATACTTCTATCTCACGTTTTAACCACTTTTCTATGATTCTCCGTTTTCGAGATCATTAAGACAGAAAATGAAGAAAAAGATGCGTATTTCTAGTTGAAAAGAAAACTAGATAGTATTCAAGTTTCACTCGAATACGAATGCGATGCGAAGCTCGAATCGGATCTTCGCGAAAAATTTTCAATTCAGAGAAATCTTGAATACTTTTTATGTCGACATGATGAAATTCATCGCTGAGAAAACTCTATTCATTCTTAAAGACCGATTTCGATTGATCGATTAATTATCTCCATGATTTATTATCTTAGATCAGCGGTAAATGCTTTGACTATAGTGGCGAACATATGTTGATGACGGCATTTTAATTATCTGGCAGCAAATCTCTTTCATTTTCGTCATTTTGGAACCACATTTATGAACGGACGGAACTGCAGATTGAAGATTAGAAACTAGATGTTCTAAGTTCGATCCTGATACTTCGATCTCAAGTTTTAACCACTTTTCTACGATTTTCGGTTCTCGAGATCATTCTGTCACAAAACGACGAGAAGTGAATCGCATTAAAAAGATCTCTGATTTTCATCGGATCTTCAAGATTTCGAATATGATTGTGCGTATATTGATAAATCAACAAGGAAAAATAATCATAGGATCGATTTGATTCCTTTTGACGATATGAAATAACAATGATGAACATTCGTTTGTTTATTCAAAGATGACGCTCTTATAGTCAGAGAGAATTATTTGCTTCTTAAGATTTTACAGTAAAACTAAAAGGGTAAATATTAGTTGTATATCTTGTTTAACCAAACGAATGCACTTGTAATGTTGCGGGTAGATTTGAATACAAGGAAGCATGTCAATACTATTCTCTCCTTGTTATTGCAATGTACATCAACATAAATAAATAATTTGTCTACAGAAATAATAGATTGAACGTATCAGACACTATAATTATGATATAAACTCAAGGGGGGGGGGGGGGGGGGGGGAGCGCGACTTCCGAATTTCCGTACTTCACGTACTTCCATGTACTTCACTCGTAATCCCTTGTACTTCTCTTGTGCTCCTTGGTACTTGTGGTTCCATCGTACTTCAAAGTACGGAAGTCGCGCTTTTCCCCGCTCGCATAAACTTCATGTAGACCGTTCATTTTTGATTATTGGTTCGAATGAACGTGACCAAAAAATATTTTCTATTTTATTCAATCACTGTGTCGCAAAAGACATCAGCAGAAATGTTGCACATTGAGTTTTGTTTTCATCTTGATGAAGATGATGATGGCTCATACATTAAATATTAAAACATAATGAAACAATCAATCAAAAGCCTTCAAGTGCACAGTTGTAATCGTAGCTGTCGAATTGTTTCAATATTCATTCTACTCAAGTACCTTTCATTGAGAAATAAATTCTAATAAATATCTAAATCATTCAAAATGAGTCATTGATAAAAAATAATGGATTCTTCTTCATGATTTTAGTTGACACTTGATTGAATATTTATGAGAGAGAAAAAACACGCCGTTAGTGTATTTGCATTATCCATAAGATTTAACGAGAGGTATAAATCGACTTGTTCTCTTCATGGTATTGATGAGAGCCTCTCCTATCACGTCCTCCTGCTAAACAATCCAGTAAGCGAATATAATCTCTAAACCACCGTGATTAATATTTAGTATAGAAGAAAAATCCAAGTTTTCAAACAAAGAAACTTTTTTGTAGTTCTATGAAATATTTTTTCACAGAATTTTATTCGCATCACGACTCCGAGTTGAAGACAAGTCGTTCTCAAAAAAGCTTCGGACAGCAAGTGAAGTTCATTTTTTGACAAATATATCACCAGAAGAAACATCAGATATATTTTTTTTATTAGATATGCGTATTAACATCGAGAACAATCCTGCATTCACGCACCCATTTCTACGGATCAATGATCCGATTCTCAATTAGTAACTTTACTTTCTCACTTTCGCTGTTCATTTTTTAGAAAAGCAAATGAGCAAAATGAGACTCAGGCATGCATAGATCCTGCGGATGTATAGTAAGCATTTCGATAGATGAAAATAATTCATTATTACGCAACAAAACGTTCAACCTTAAGACCCTTTAGACGAGGCCTGCTACAGGTAGATTTGACGGTTTGATTCTTACGAAAACAAATTCATCCTAAATGAGTCTATTTACAAATAATTAAACTTTTTTAATCATGCTTTTTCTACTAAGAAAATGCCTAATCGATTTTGATGTGATATCCGTAGTACTTCTAATTGATGGTTTAACTATCCTAATTTAATCTTAGAAAGGTTTATGATGCAGCACGAGTTGATTTTTATTTAATATAAAATAATTTAATTTTTTTACCTAATTTCCAAATGCTCTTTTTATTCTTTCATTTATCGATATTTCGTCCTTGTTGATACGGACACTTACGAGATTGATGGTGTTTGCAGGATAGTTGTTGAGATTGTTGTTGTTTGGACCTAGTTTTATGTTCCTTATCCACGACCCGATGAGAAATATCCGGTTATGAATTTATGTCAAATGGTCAAGCTAACATCAGAAAATGGTCGTGGATAAGGAACATAAAACTAGATCAAAACAACAACAATCTCAACAGTTGTCCTGCAAACACCCTCAATCTCGTAAGTGTCCGTATCAACAAGGACGAAATATCGATAAATGAAAGAGCAAAAACATTTGGAATTTAAATAAAAAAATTAAATTATCTTATACTAAATAAAAATCAACTCGTGCTGCATCGTCAATCCATTGCAACAAATGAATTCTTCGATTATCATATGATACATTACGAATTAGAAAGGCTTTTTCTATTTTTTTTGGTTTTTAACTTAATTTACTTCAATGTTCCAAAGAACTATTTTTAGTTTTAGTGTGACTTTCTGCAGTTTTCCATAGGTCGGTTCTTCCTTTAGACGTACGATAGAGAATTTTCGAAATGAGAAGCAATGAACATATTGGCTTCGATAAGTCTCTTTATTTTGATGATAGTTATAAAGCTATTTACAAAACTATTCCACCTCACATATATTTCTAGCGAGCGATTGATTTGTTCAGATTTTGTACTAATCGTGCTTTTCTAGGTAGTTCGGTTGAACATGCAGGTTGCAAAAAATTTACTCATTTTTAAGCTTCATTCTATTTTCTATTTTAAGATAAGGGAAATTCGGGCACTTGTGAACTATCGTGATTTCAATAAAGCTTCCTAAATACTTCTATCACCCGAACAGATACACATTTTAAAAGCTCATCATTTTCGGCAAATATTTGACTTGATTAAAAATTAATAATGTTTAGTTTTCTTATAACAGCTTTTCTAAGAAAAGAAAAGGTAGCTGAATTTTATGCTCTGTTCGAAGGAAATATTTTACGGATGTTAATATACCTTCTTCCGATATCAATAACCCGACGATTTGAAATATATTTTATAATAATTACGATTTTCTAAACAATACGCTATTTTATCTAAGAAAGCATCCTTTGCACAAATCAATCATCAACAGGTTTTCAGAAAGTAACTCAAGGTAAATCATTTCCAAGACTAACGACATGAATGTAATAGATTCTGAAGGATGAAATTTTCGATATTCGACTTTCCAGGTTTCGTTGTATTTCATCAATTGAAATGATCCATACCGACTGGTTTTACTAGAATCAAGCAGTGTGAAGTCTTTTTGCATTGTAAGCTATGTTTACGCGACCAATATTAACTTACTGTGATATAAGCTACTTAAAATCGTTTAAACTCGTAATTACAGATTAAGCTGTTTTAAGGCGCACTTTCCCGAGTAAAGCACTTAGTTTTGCTTAGCGATAGATTTTTAAAGCACTTATCGCCGCTTGCACTCTAAATCGCTATCATATTTAAGTACTACGAAGCGCTGATTCTGTAATTTACTTAAAAATGCTGAGGAATTTCCCTAGTTTAAGCCTTATTAAGCGCTTATTATCTAAAATAAGTTACTTAAAAGTACAGAGGATTTTCTTTTATTTAAGCATTTTGAAGTACTTGCTTTAGAATTCACCTGTGAATACTTACATTTCATCACTTTGAAGAAAAATTTCCTATAGAAATTCATTTAGTGTGGCTCTGTGATAGATCTCTAAATGAACGTTTGCTGCAGGCGCTATTTGTTCCAAAAATTTATACGTTCGAGTTATTTTAAAGTAAAATCTATACTTTAAAAAAAATTGACCGAGAAATTAAATACAAAAGCTACAAAGAAAAAAAGACTCGGCACTGAATTCTTGAACCCAAAACATAGTTGCTTAAATTTATTAATAAAATTTTACTTTCGTAAAGTAAGTTTCATCTGAGAATGACTTTGTATATAACAAGAATCATAGAAAATCAGCATTGGTGAATTCACAGAAAATATTTAGTTATTACAATATCTAGTTCGATCGACTTACAACGCAGTTTAGTTCATACAGTTCATACACCAATATGATCAAGTGATTTGTATATCCGACTTCGAATTCTCAAAAAAATTAGAAGACAACCAGATGATCGAATCTAACATCTAATAACACCGAACAATTCAAATATCAAATTAATTATCTCTCTATCGGAGTAAGTGAAGAAGCGACAGCTATTAATAAGTAATAGCATCAGAGTCTAAGCAACTAACGTAAGGTAAATAATAGCGGCAGTGATAGAAAGTCTGTGATTTTTTTCAGTGCTAAAAGACAAGTACATTAAAGCGCTTAAACTTTCGATGTTAAGCACTTCAATCAGCGTAAAAGCTCTTATTAAGCAAAAAATGTAAGCTAGCTTTTTCGCTTACATGGGAAATTACTACATTCATTCGATCTCCGTAACTTTCTAGGTTAATTCCAAGGCTTTAGAAAATCATCGCAGGGATGCATTGCAGACATAGAAAAAGTTCCTGAAGAACTGTCACAAAATAAATTATAAAAATGCTATCCGACGACAGTCAGACGGCCTTATCCACTTTTCTCCTTCCGCAGGTAATTGTTAAAATTCTGTCAATCAACAACTCATGTATGTAATCATTCAGCAAAATATTCCAAGCAGCAGAAATAGAATTAAGCAATTCATGTGAATGACTCATGGGCTGGGTACTAAAAAACAAACGTCGACACTACGAATTTCGAGGTTTTGATTCATAATTAAAATAATTGCAGGAAAAAAAACGAAGATTAATCTCTTATAATGACACATTCATAATTCAGGGTCTTTTTTAGAAATCTGTCATTTCTGACAGATTTTTAATTACATAAGTAGATAAAATCATGCATTTCCTGCACTATTTCCTATTTTTTTTCTATTCATCAATAGTTTTGTTTTCGCTCAACACGTTCAATAATCACATAAATACACTGTTCTATGTTAATCTACTTGAATTGGACGAATTCGATTAGGTTATCGAGTATCAATCATTCCACATATTTTACAGTACACAAAGACACGCTTGTTATTAGAATCTATTTTCTCAAGTAGATCCTTTACATAATTGAAATCAGTTTAATATTTCAACGAAAAATATTCCACGTAAAATCTTGTTTGGCTCCCCACAAGTTAAAGAACTCTAAATATTTATTAGCTTGCCACTAAAAAAAGACATTAGGCTACTTGTATTTCTAATTAGAAGTCTATAGATATATACCATTAAAAATTTATCTTTTTTTCGAAAAATAAATCCAACCATTATATCTTTCAGTTTGGTATTAAGATATTTAAATAATCACATTAAAATAGAATAGAATGACTCTATGATTACAAGAGAAAAGAAAAATATTTAAAGTTTTTATCTTATTCTTTCCGGCCTTATAGATCTGTTGACGCCTTCTGAACATCACGGTTAGATAGGCGAGAGAGAGAGAGAGAGAGAGAGAGAGAGAGAGTAGGTCGATCATTGTTAAAATAAGCTTCATGACATTTAGAAAAAAAAAAGAGTCGATCCTTAATGGAGAATTGCTAATCAAATAGAAAATAAAGACATTTTCGAAGATGAGATTCGCCATGAAAATATTTTTTCTTACTCGCACAAGCCTTTTCTATATCGGACATATGCTCTAATAATGCTAAACAAAACACGATTAACTAATTGAAAATTGCACAACGAATGTCGATTTTGATAAAGCAACCTTTTCAGTTAATGGAATCGATATAAAAATAAACAGCGAGTTTCCGTACGGCAGCAATTTTTATCAATATATATGTTTTACTAATCATCTCTCAATTAACCTAATCACGAAAATGTCAAGTTAAAACTATTTCGATCAAGAATGTTCATAACTAGTATGCGTGAATTCATGTGAGAAATATTGAATGATTAGAGACAGAATTATTTTCCAGCAAGCATAACATTATTTTTTTCCCATATGAATACTAATTCAACCACAATTATTTTCAATATTTTGAAAAACAAACTTAGTCAAATTAGCTGAATACTCTTATTTGTCTTAGGAAATACTTTGCTGTGCAAAAAAAGTGACTATTCTTGCCATCGAACAAATACGCACTATCATCAATCAACCCAGAGGCATATTGCCTCGAACGATCATAACCTTTTTTAGTTTTTTTCTGTTTACTCTATACAATATGACAACATGTTATTGATCAACTTAATCCTTCGAATTAGTTTATTCATATAAATATATTTGTGTATATGTACACACTTGAAAGTACTTTAATTATGATCGGTATAGATCTGATTCTCTCATATGCATGCATGTTTTGTACAAATAGAGCAAACAGTTAGAATATTTCCCTCAAGTAATAATACCAACCGATAGAAGAAGTAGCAGTAGCACTAGTAATTGGCTGTTCGCATATATCAGTCTCAATGGTGTTGTACAAAATATAAATGATAGAAGTGTGTTGTCCCTAAATCATACAAAAAATAGAGAATGTAGAAAAACAGTTTTTTTCAAGAATGAGAGAATAAGAGACACACATTAGACATAGAGAGAGAGAGAGAGAGAGAGAGAGAAAAGATGCTCGGTATAGAGAATGACAAGAAACGGTGAAGACGGTGGCTCGTACAGCTTGTCGTCGCCGGCATCGTCTAGTCTCGTTTCTTTTCTTCTCTTTCCCATCCTCTGTCAATGCTGGAAGAACTATATCGCCTAGAGCAGTAAGAAACTAGTGAAGTGTAATGTGCATGTGCGTGATTCCTCGAACCATTTCTGATGTAGATTACAACAAAAAAGAGAAGAAGAAGAAGAAGAAGAAGAAGAAGAGACGAAGAAAAGAATTATCATTCTCTGTCACACTCATTTTCAGATTTCTAAGAAGGTTATTAACAAGAAGAAGTAGAAAACGAAGAATTATTTACAATGATGGGAGCATCTTCATCGCCTAAACACGATATTGACGAAAATCATTCAAGCAAAAATGAAATCAACTGTCCGAGCAATCGAAATCCTCGTCGTAGTCACGCGTCTACGCTATTAAATCAACGTCTATCGGCAAATAAAAGTGGTGCAAACTCAGCAAAATTCAAGCCGGGAATGTTTCGTCAAGCTGTGCCTCAAATGCCACTAGCTTTGGCTTGTTTTTGTTTTGTACTCAATCTTATATTGCCAGGAACAGGTATGCAAATAACCTTATACTAAAAAAAAACACAACAAACGAATCCAATTGACATTATGAATCGTTTAATAATTGGAAAAAATAAGAACAGAATAGCTAAATATTAAATGAGAAAAAGTTCGAAAGACAACACGTCATTTTATTCTCAATATGTTTCTCGTACTTAAATTAATCGTTCTCTTGTTTTTTTTTCTTGACTTCATAATCCACAGACGTGTTTTGTGTGTGTGTCCAACAGTGCTATCCATCAATCGAGTAGATAGTTACTCTACTGATCCAGCTGACGCACGGACAAGTTCCCTTGACTTTGATTGTTTGCTGTTATTGTTATTGCAGCTACCGCTCACACCATGTTGACATCTCCTGTTACACTTCTAGCCATAGCAATAATAATGATAAAGTTTGCTTGTAATCCTACTGATAGTATCCATCAAATTGGAGGAAAAGAAAAGACAAAGAAAAGCAGTAGGTATTTCTGCATACTGGTAGCTACACACGCGGATGCGTCGAGATAAATTGTATATGTCATGTAGTCGAACGACAATGCTCTGTTGTGTATATCTGAATGACAAATGAGTTCACCTTCAAAAATAAAATGGTCAGACATTAACTTATTCTTTGTTTTTCTCTCATAGAAAACTCTGTTGTCAAAGATGTTCCTAATCGCTTCTACTTTTAATAGAAAAGGCTTTCTTTCTATTTTTACGATCGTATATTGAGAGTTTGATTAATCTTACTATCTTGGCTCAGCGATCATAGGCCACGAATTTTAATTTATTTAGTAAAGGACACGGAAAACGAGAGCAAGACATAAACGTATACATTTTCAATGATGCGTATGCTAGTATGATCGAATTACATCGTGACAGAGAAAAGCAGGATGATGAAAGTAGAAAAAAAGAATAATTCTCTTTGTCAGCATATTGATTATAGGAGATCCACAGCAAAACAAAAACATCTAATGTTCTCATTTTCGTCAAGTCGGTAGTTTTTAATCTATTTTTAGGCACACTAATTACTGCGTTTGCTGTATTTTGTTGCGGTAAACATGGTTACGAAAAGAATATTGTTGCCTGTTTATACAATCTACTCGCAGCTATTTTACAAAGTGCAACCATTTTTTTACTTGTTGGATGGATTTGGTCAGTACGATGGGGTATTCTATTTATTCAACTAGCAGGTATAATAAACTAAAAGAAAGAAAAAAACAAGCATCTGCGACTCGTCTAACATTTTTCTATTCGTGTGATTACATATGATGGCAAATTAGGAAATAGAATTGAGAATAAATCAAATTTGTCACAATTGATAGGTTTCTTTTTCTTTTTGTTTACATTTATTTTTTACAATGGTGATGATTAGAATGCATAGTTGAAAGAAAAAGCATGCCCGCATTAGTCGAATAACATACTGAAATATGCATGACCGACAATAAAAAGTCATTGAAACACATATGACCACATAATCAAATGAAGATTATGAATTATGAGATCAAACCATTGAAAAGATAAATTTTACAGCATGATTAGAGAACATAAAAGCGTTAGAACTTTGTTGTATGCTTTTATCTTTTTTCAGTCATATAAGTATATATTTAGATTGATTGCAAGAACTAAGATGAGTACGACGAAATTTTATTGAATTAGAAGCATTGATTAGAGCAAGTTCTATCCAATGTAGTAATCATGTATTAGATAGATCTACGTGCATTCTCAAACGTCATCTTTTTCCTTCCGCTCTCGAGTTCTTGTCTATATCAGCAACAAACTGTATAGATAACTGTAAAATTACGGCAATCAACAAGTGTCTGCTTTTAGAATACAAAAACTAGATGAGAGAATGAGAAAAATAATAAAATATTAATTATCGAAGGGACGTTTTGCTCCCGTTCGAACGCATCTCTTAGAGAAAATCGATCGGGGCTGTTGATTACTTTAGTCGATTATCAACTAAACAATCCATTAAAACACAATGGAATCTATAGAGTAAAAATACTCTAGAAACTAATATTATTTCAAAAGGAAAAAGAATTTTCTTCATGCATGAGCCAGCGATTACTTTTTATTTACTCATTTCCTTCTAGATAAAAGAGAACAAAAAAGACTATCAGAGTATCAAAAAAAAATGTATATATGCTCATTTTCTCAACAAGAATAAAACATGGCGTAAATAAAAGCAAAAAAAGGGACTTTCTATTTATCAAAGCTTTTTAGTACCTATTGTTGTTGATAGTCTTATGATTTTTTTAGAATAATTATATAAAACCACAAAATCGTACGATAAAATATTGTCTTTAATCTCAACAAATGCATAAGAAAAACATCAAGTCTCTTCTATTCGCTAATACGAATATTATTAGTATAATTTATTTTGCTAAAAGAACTCGACTTTGAGAAAACTAATATTCTATTGATGATGCTCGTAGCTTACTTATTTCTCTTTCTAGGGAATAAAATTGTTATGACACAACCGACACCATTCTACGTACGTCGTCAGTCAAGTGTTGACACTCATACTCAACCGTTTATGACACAGATGGTAGCACCACGTATCCCGCCACTACTAGAAGATACCAATGAATTCGAAGGTGTATGATAATATGAACTGGTTTTGATAACATCTTAGCATGGATTTAATCCATTTCAATTATGTTCTATTATTATTGTGAGAAGAAACTTATATTTATCCAACACTGTGATAGTCTTGACATATATTTATCGTCGTCATTGCAGCTATTTTGTTTCAATGCACGCTGTAACATAAACACTTGTATTGTGCCAAATATTTATCAGTGTAGTTTTGTACAGAGTTCGAACATTTTTTTTTTCAAGGAGATAGAATTCTACCTGCAAATAGCATTTAGACTAGATTTTGTACCAAAAAAATAAAAAATTGGTCAAAAATCGAATCAAAAATAGAGCTTATAGATAGGTTTTCTTTTTCTTTTGTTCATATTAGAATTAAACAGTTGAACTTCATAAGACAAGAAGCAAAAAGAAAAATAATCACACAGAGAAATTAATCAAGTATGGAATCTATCAGTTCATCAAGATAACTCCAGGCCTTTTTAATGCATCATTCCTTTTTTTTCTCACAGATTATTCATTCAACAGTTAGATGTGACGGAAAGAAAAAAAGAAATTGCAAGAATATTATTCTCATTATCCTATTATCATAGAGTCTGACGTAAAATGAACTGGAGTATTTACTAGAAACAAGTGTTTGGTTAATAACTCAATAGTTTAATTTTCAGTCTAGATGATCTTTACTAGATGTTTTTGCGCAAATTGATAATAAATGGAAGAGAGAGGAGCACATTGAAAACGTTCTCTTTTAATTCATTACACTCGAGATATTTTCACAAGTCGACACGACAGACTTTGCTGAAATCCGGATTGATTCACATCAGCAAAATGTCAATTTGTGAAAAGTCTTTATTTTAATATAAAATTTATGTTCTATCTCGTGAGGAAAGAATTATTTGATTGCTCCATATGGAATATTCTTCGAAAAGAAACAAAATTTGATTACAAAATTAGGTTTAGTCATCATGCATAACGGAAATGATAGGAGTATAGGTTGAACATGCAGCATTTCCTGTGAGCGCAAAAAGGAGCGACTCCAAAACGTGACTTTTCAGAATTGAAAACCTTCGTTACATATTTGACATCTATTGTCTTTGACCGACCAATGAACTGTACCCTCCCATGTGTTTCATTACGATCAAACTGCGACGCAATCACGGCGTAACTGTGATCGCACTGTGACCCGTAATTGCGGAAACAAGCGACATAGTTACGCGTAACTGCGATGAAAAAATCGTAGTTACGGTAAAATATTCATTAACAATTATCGTAAAACATACAAGTAACTAGAATGGTCTTGTTTGTTCTTCTACATCTATTCAATGTTTTAATGCATATACATTATACAAAAAATCGTTGAGAACATTATTTTCTAGGAAAGAGCTCAATGAAAAAAAAAAGAACTAAAAGAAATGGATACAAATTCATATGGTAAAATGTAGATGAATGAAAAAAAATTAACATGAGTATCAAAAGAAAATGAAAACTTAAATTGAATTGTTCTACGCATGCAACTTGAGAAATTTAAAAGCAAAACATAAATAAGCAATTAATTATTCATTGGCACATATTTTTCTTTTTGCACCGACTGTTCGAAGTTTAGCCGCTATGATAGTATGAAGCTAAATCCAGTTTCTAGTTCATATTGTGTTAAACGAAATTTGTTTCGTATTGCTTCTAAACGGCGTGCTGAATGTCAATATAAAATGACCAATAAACATGCGCAAACCCTTTAAGCAAAATGTATCGTTCATCTTTCGGTTTATGTTTTGTTTCAATAGCTAAAAGCTCATCGAGCTTGAAAATTATGTCCATAAGAGAAGTCACACAACGATTTTTGTGAAGAAAATAATTTTAAAGAAAAAAATATTGTTTTGCTCGAAAACGAATTTTCCATGAAAAATGATTATTTCTATGCGAAAAAAATTCTTTTTTTATGAAAAAAATATTGTAAAAAAATTATTCTGCTCAAAAACCTATTTCTATGGATAAAACATTTTGGAATACCAGTATTCATCAATATTTCTTGAATTAGAAAACTTCACGAATTTCACTCTGATGATTTGAGAGATTCGATGAAGTAGCCTGAAAATGAGAATCAAATAAATGAGCTATTATACTTAAGATAGGCCCTTTTATATTTCTCTATTGACCAATTATTGTTGGCATTTGACAGCAACGAATTAGATAATTTAGATAAATATCTGTCATTGGCTAGGTTTTCACCAACTGTACGAACAATTAATACTTGTACACACTACGATCACTGCGGTATAGATGCGAACGCAAATTCGTCGTAGCTGAAGTAGTTTGCTTTTTCTATCTCAACTATGGCTACTGCGCTGCATTTACGCGTAGTTGTGCCGCAAAATAGCCACTGCGCGTAACTACGACACGGTTGCTAAAACGTGGTGACATGACATGGACTTTCATAATGTCACCTAATCAAGTATTGTCTCTCGTGGGAGCTGACAAAATTAGTTAATAGTCAATACGGAAATTGAATTTGATGATCGAACTAGCCATTTGTCAACGATCGAACGAAATATATTTTTAATTAATTTTATAAAGTAATTTGATATATTTCTTGTTGTCGTAATATATCGGTTCATAACTAACATAGAGACGATATTCTATGATTACAATCAAAAGTTTTCGAAATTCGATGAATTTAATGACTTCAACAATCAAATTATCTGATGTTGATGATGATACATCGAATCGTGAATGTGTGGGTGTCGATCTCGATAAACAGAATGTCTACACCCACACATCCAGCTCGACGAAGATTATTTTTAGTTTGTCATTCTAAAATTCTGATGAATGATTTATGGGCAAAAACATATCTTTTTTTGAGAAAAAAAATTCAAGTAACTATTAAAATTGTATCGTAAAACTGTGGATGCTGTTCTTGCTATTTTATTATATGATATTCATTGTGAAAAATTGTCAATTTCACAGATTATTAAATCGGCCGCTATAATTATAATACCCAGAGAGATTTTTCTTCCTGATTGGATGCGTCTATATTCCTGTTGGACCGTCTGATTCGAACTTGATTTTTTTTTCTAACTAAAAACCCTTTAGAAATAGTACGAGTTAAATCTGATAAAAGCCTGATTCTTCAACTTTAACATAGATTTCATAGGATTTTACTCTTTATTAAACGAGTTGTGAATAAAACAATTTTAGTCAATGGAATTTTATTTATCAATTAAAAGACAGCAAAAACCAATTTGCATCTATCTTTTAAGGATATGGATATTATATTGATGTCTGCCTATCAACACAGGCGCATACATTCGCACATTCTTTAAAAAAATTCAAAATGGCCGATTAGACTACACTGACGAAATACGTTGTCGGTCAAGTCCAAAAAAAAACATCTTCTTGGGCCATGCAGCTCTTGAGGGTGTGGGTGTGATTATGTATGTTAATGCTTTAGGGAATCAGCCACACCCACACCCACACACTAGTTTCTTTTTATTTATTTCTTCTTTATAAAGTCAAGCATTCGTTTTCCATGAGAAAAATTCACTGAAACATTTCCCACATGAAGAGACATCTATTCATAGCGTGAATAGGTAGTCGTATGCATTTGTTCAATTATCACAAGAGAGAGAGAGAGAGTGTTGCTTAGTGACTATGCATGCCAAGAACAAATGAATGTGAAATTACTTTTTTTCATCTGAATCACAAATGCCAATTTCTAATCTTACAAATGGAATATCGAGTGATCGAAAAATCGATCAATTCGAGCCTGTAATATAACTTTTTATTCCAATATTTATTATGAATTGTGTTTTTTTCTCTCTACAGCCATATGGTTATCTGTCATCAATAGATCCATTTCCGTGTTTTGAAGAAAGTGTTATAAATTATTCGACGAATCAGCGTAATCAAAAGCCATCGTATGAAAAAAATGCTTTGATTTTTCTGTTTCTTGATAAATATTTTTCTTTCTGTATTAGTAATCTTATTTGTAAATTAGTTCTTGCTGGTGATGTAGCCGTAGGAAAATCAAGTCTAGCTACAAGGTATAAAAAAATGTGACACGAAAATAAATTTACTGATAGAACCTTCTTTTTAGATTGTGTCATAAAACATTTGATAGAAATTATAAAGCAACTATAGGAGTCGATTTTGAAGTTGAACGATTTTCAATTTTGGGTGTACCTGTATCATTACAAATATGGGATACTGCTGGACAGGAAAGATTTAAATGTATTGCAGGTAAATATCCTATTGAAATAAAACAAATCATATTATTATTATTATTTAACATCTAGCTGCTTACTATCGTGGTGCTCATGTCATCATAGGCGTATTTGATATGAACGATATTGATACATTGAAAAGTGCTGAACGTTGGATCAATGAAGCATTACAAACGACAACAGCAGATAATCCTCTGATATTTTTAGTTGGTTCAAAACGAGATTTAATAGTAAATTATCTATCCAATTCAATTATTTTTTTATGATGTTTGTTTTCAGACAGATAATACAAGTCATGCAAAAATTGAACAAACTGCTCGTATAGTTGCTAAGCGTGTCAATGCTGAATTTTGGTCTCTGTCATCATTGACAGGTAAGCATTCAAATCTATAAATAAAAAATTAAAATTTAATCTCTAAGGTTCTAATGTTGAAGAATTTTTTAAACGTATTGCTTGTGTAACATATCAAACGTTAATTCGACAACAATTAAATTCCCCAAATACATCTACTGATAGAGTAAAAACAAAAACTCAATTAGCTGTTAGTCTTGTTCCGACAAACGGTAAATAATTGAATAATTCTTATCGATATGCTCTATATTCTTCTTTAGATTACATTTCCAAACAAACATCCAAAGATAATTGTTGTAGTACTGTATAACAGGATTAAATATAAAAATTTTGTCACTCTTTTTTGTTAGTTGTCAATTGTGTAAAAAAAATAAAATTTTAGTCAAGCAACATATATTTTCCAAGCCGTTAACTGTAATTGTATTTTAGAATACTGATTGATATTTATTCTTGAAAAAAAAAAGAGAAGAAGAAATCCAAATCAAACAAACGTATATCTTTCTTTCATACACTCACTCTAACACTATGAGCTGAGAGACGACAGCAGAAGAGTATTAAGAAAAAAGAGAGAGAGAGAAGAGATTAATGAAGACAAAAATGATAATATTAAATCTTTACACAAACGTACATACGACATAAGCACACACAATTTAAGAAAGTGTATATGTTATGCGTATAGGTATTGTATAAATGATTGAGAATACAGCAAAAAAAAAGAAGAAAATACGGCAAATATAAATGAAGATAAAATTGAAAGAAAAGAAAAGAACTTGCACTGTATGATGATGATGATGATGATATGATAGTTAACAAAATGAACATAGGGAGTACAAACAATGATGGCGAGATCAAAAGAAAATGACCGCTTGTGAATTTATTCTTTTTTCCTCCCAAGTAGATAAATGACTAGTTATCTCGAATCATAGTATATGTTCGACTAATAAACGTATACATGATTAAGACACAGAAATTTGTTGCCATCAACTACAAATGAAAATGAAGAAAGAGAAAGAGCGAGAGACAAATTAAAAAAGAAGCAAAATTTTGTTAATAGAATCTAAAGTTTTTTCAACGTTTGTCCCACGTAGTAGTTGCCATTTTGATAACCACCTTGACCAGCACCTTGCTGAGTCTTCAGACAAACCGTACAACGACTGATCTTATTTCTGTGATTGCCAGATTTCAATGTTTCTTGACGTGGTACTTCAAATTGATTGTTTTGATCGATAACTGTCATCCAATAACTGAATTTATTTGCATAGTACATGCAATTGCCATCTGTACCAGAACATTCAATGAATGGTGTTGCACGGAAATCTTCCAAACATGAGCCTGCACTCGCCAATGATTGACCACCTCCTTGTGCACCACGACCGAGATGCTTTAAAAGAAGAAGAAAAACGATAAAATAAAATTATGATTCGATTTGTTCTCTTATAGTAAAACAATATTTACCATAACAAAACTGTAACCTTGCCAAAGAATATTCCAACCATTTGGACATGGTGGTGGTGTCATCGATAAACTATGGAATGACATAACATTAGCAGGTGCTTCACATACAGCACAACGTGAAATATAGGGTCGAATTTGTTCACGTTGAACAGGCATCATTGGCATTGGTTCTGTTGTTGATAAATAGTATGTTAAATCATTTGTTTGACCATAATAACAAACATTGGTATGATCACAACGTAAATAGGGTAATGCAGAGAATTTCTGTAGACATGAACCAGCCGAGCCTTAAAAACAAAAACAAAAATATATTTGAGATTTGTATTTATTTATAATAGAAAAACAAAAACAAAGAATAGTTACCAAGATCTTGATGATAACCATGATCGTTGCCTTGCATCATAAGTAAACTGTAACCATCCCATAGTTTAACCATGCCTGATGGACAATCTGGTACTTGAGATGATTGCGAATGGCGAACAACCATGAAGCCAGTTCGTTGAAGGCCTGGACCTGGTGGACCTGGAGGACCACTTGCACCTAAAATAAAATACAAACGATTTATGATGATCAATATTTAACAAATTTTACTACCTGGTGGACCAGAAATACCGCTAACACCTGGAATACCTGGTGTACCCTAAATGATCGGAAATATAATAATAAATTTAAAATATGACTTTTATTTTTCATCTGAATACTTACACGTTCACCTTTAGGTCCAACATAACCTGGTAATCCGGGTTGGCCAGGTTGACCTGGTGGACCATTTTCTCCTCGTACGCCTGGCTGGCCTATTTAATACAAAAGATAATGAAGAAAACAAAATGCTGAATTCCATCAATATACCTGGTTGACCTTGAAATCCTGGTGAACCTTAAAATTTAAAAGAAAAAACATATGTAATAAAAACAAAATTATCGAAATTTAGTTTAGTACCTGGTAATCCTTGAAGACCTTGATCACCTTTGTCACCTGGTCGACCCATATTTAATGGTCCTGGGAGACAATCACCTCGTGGACCGGGTCCACCTATTTATTTGAATAAAATAACATGACAATACTTTTTCAAAAGCAAACAATAATGAGTTTACCTGGCATGCCATCACTACCGGGACGTCCATCAAAACCACGATCACCTTTGGCTCCGGGAAGACCTGAGATTGAGAGAAAGATGATAAAATGATTCTATACAAGATCTATCTTATGTAACATACCTGAACTGCCTGGGAATCCGGGAGTTCCTGAAAAATAGATTTAAAGTAAATAATATTATAATTTGTTTCTAAATCATTATCTCACCTTTTTCTCCAGATAAACCAGGTTGACCTTTACATTTTTTTAAATAAAAATGAAAAAAATAAAACATTTCATTCAACCTTCATGATTACAAACCTGGCATTCCAGCAAAACCGCGATCACCTAAACATACGAATTTTTATTAGAGCTTCATTTTTTGTCTTCATCTACATACCTGGAAGACCTGGTAAACCATTTCTACCTGGTGCTCCATCAAATCCTTTTGGACCTGGTAGGCCAGGGAGACCAGGAGCGCCCGGAAGACCTAAAATATTATTAGATATAAGATTATTTTTTCAATGAAAATACTCTATTTAATACTAACCATCTTTGCCTACAGAGCCCGGTTGACCTGTCCATGCGAAAACGAATATGAATTAAATTCAAAAAAGAGCCACAAATAAAAATTTACCTTGTAAACCTGGTTGACCTGGAAGGCCTGGTACACCGGCATCACCTTTCTAAATAGTAAAAATTAAATACATATCTATCCAGTCTTTTTGTTAACTTACTTGACCTGGCACAGCTCTATCACAATCACGACCGGGCATACCAGGAGCTCCATTTAATCCCACGTTTCTATACGAAACAAAAAAAACGTTTACACGCACAAACATTCTTCATTAGATTTTACCCTTTCTCTCCTGAAAGACCTGGCATACCTATTGATATTTTAAGAAAAAAAAAGAAATTAATATTTCATTGTTCGATTATTTTCTATTGTTTATTTTCTTACCATCGCGACCACTTGGACCGGCTTCACCTTTCTGTCCAGCAGAAGCATAACCTAAATTTGAACGTAAGTAAATGATGTATGAAGTTTCACTTAGAATATTCACCTGGTTCACCCTTTTGACCCGAAAGACCTGGCAAACCTGTAATTCAAGAAGAAAACAGCATTAAAAATCATTCGTTTTCATTTCATTATCACACATACCACTATCTCCGGGAAGACCAGGTTGACCCATCGATCCCGGTTGACCTAGAACAATTGTCATAAAAATAATTCATTTTCTTTACAAATTGATTTTTTACCATTTGAGCCTGGTAAACCTGGTAAACCAGCATCACCTGTGAAAAAATTTCTAAGAATTAGTCAGCTCAATTCATTCTTAAAAATACAAACCCTTTTGGCCTGGAAGTCCATTCATGCCTGGAGCACCTGATGGGCCAGAAAGACCTGGTGCACCTGGTAAACCTATACAAAAATAGTAATCGAAAGTAGATATCAATATTCAACATAGAATATTAATTGTTTACCTGAAAAACCTGCAGCACCTTTAGCACCCGGAGCACCTATATCATATTACAATACATATAAGATTAATCGATTTAAATTAATATTAAATAAATATACCTGGAAGCCCGTTAAGACCACGTTCACCCTTAAGACCTGGCATACCGACACCACCATCACGACCTGGATGACCCGCGTCACCTTTGGCTCCCGGAAGACCTGTAAATTTTCAATTTATAAAATGTTAACACGATAGTAAATTTATTTACCATTCATGCCCGATGGTCCATTAAAACCTAATCGAAAATAATTTTTATTTTTGCGAAAATAATTAGTTTTCATAATTTTTACCTGGTTGACCTGGTTCTCCTTTTGATCCAGGCAATCCACTGAATCCTTGATCACCTTTAAGTCCAGCTCCACCTGGAAGTCCCGGAGCGCCTATAAAAAATGCCGTGTTAAATAGAAATGCATTAAAAAATCAAATTTATTTTACCTGGTGATCCTGAAGAACCTGGTAAACCCTAGAAGACGAAAACATTTTTCAATCAAACATGAATATGTAATGACGACAAATCTTTTATTTACTCGTTCACCGGAAAGACCAGGTAATCCTAAAAGAGAAGATATGTATTTATATCATACACATATATTTAGTCGTACCATTGGCACCTGGAAATCCACGTTCACCTGGTGCGCCTGCTATTCCCGCTGGGCCTGGGAAGCCTGGTTCACCAATAGCACCTTTTATACCTAGATCCAGAGGAAAGAAATTATTTCAGTGTAAAAGCAGAAATTCATCCTATTACCTGTTTGGCCAATAGCTGATTCACCTTTAGCACCTGGGAGACCTGGCATGCCATCTTTGCCTGCTGCTCCTGGAAGACCTGGGGCGCCCGGAAGACCACTTGGGCCACTAAAAATCAGAGAAACATTCATCACTTAGAAAAAAAAATTCTGATATACTACCGTTCGCCTGGAGCTCCACGTGCGGCTGAGAAACCCTAGATAATTATGTTATTCGCATATTAAATAAAACAGTTTTTATTTATTTATTTATCAACTTACTGGTTCTCCTTTTGGACCTGCTAAACCGGGTGTGCCTGGAAAGCCTCGATCACCACGTTGACCTGCTGCACATGATGTACATGATTGTCCTGGTAAGCCAGGGTGACCTATCAAATTAATAATGAAAATGTTCATTACTGTTCAATGAAAACTAAATCAATTACCTCGGTCACCCTTGTGTCCTGAGGAGCCCTTAAGAATGAAAAAAAAGCACAATTTAAACTACTAAAATTGTTTATTCATTTTACCGGCATGCCTGGTAAACCACTTTGTCCTGATGGTCCTGGAAAGCCTGGAACACCTTTTTCACCTGATGGGCCTGGTGCACCATTCAATCCTGGTGCACCATTATAGCCACGTTCACCTTTGGCACCTGGTAGACCTGGGAGGCCTGGTTTTCCACTTGGTCCTCTGTTTTCATTGAATACAACACAAAAAATGTATGCATCGTTCAAATTCAATCAACTTACGGTAAACCACCAAAACCTTTTTCTCCTGATAAACCTGGGTTGCCTGGTGGACCTTGTGGTCCTGGAAGACCTGTAGAAATGGACAAAATAATGGTTAGTTGTATGAAAACACTTCTTGTGTATATGTACCTGGCAAACCTAGAAAAGAAAAACATAAGGATGTTAAATCATATACGAACAAAAATTGTTAATATAAAACTTACCATCAGTACCCGGACTACCCGGTGCACCTATATAAGAAGGAAGAAGAAACAAAAAAATGGATTTAAAAATCTGCACAACAACATGTTTTGCAATATATTTTACCTTGATCACCTTTTTGTCCACCGAAACCTGGTTCGCCTCTTTCACTATATACGGGAGAAATTAATTTCAGACAAGTTCGAGAGAAATTTCCTGTATACATACCCTTTCATACCGACGGGTCCTGGAAGTCCATTAGCACCTGGGAAGCCTGATTCTCCTAAAAAATTAATAATAGAATTATTAAAAAAAATTCCGTTGTTCATTACAAAAAGTTTAGAGATTTACCTTTCATGCCTGGTAATCCACTTTCACCAGCTGGTCCAGGTAAACCTGGAAATCCACGTTCACCAGCAGGTCCAACTGGGCCGGGTGCTCCTATAAGAAAGAATATTATTTAAAATTGTTCTGTATCATTCAAACGGAATTTATTTACCTGGAAATCCTGGTCCTGGAAGACCTGCTTCACCTTTTTCTCCTATAGGAAACCCAAAATCATTTATCGAAATTAGATCAATCTAATATATCAGAAGCATACCTGCACGACCTGGTAAACCTGGTGCTCCATCTAAAACAAACGAATATGTTTAGAGAATAAAAACAAAGAATACATTTTATTGTTATTTACCGAATCCTTTAGACCCTGGAAGACCTGGTAACCCATCACGACCAGCCATACCTATTTTAGAAATAATATTATTTTTCTTTTCTCATCCTAAATATTGAGTTATAGAAACACACCTGGCTCCCCACGATAACCTAAAGAAGAAAATAGAGATAGAGATTTATTGAACATTTAATTATTTTTTCGTCCTACCTGTGATGCCTTTTGGTCCTGGAAGACCTGGAAGACCTGATTGGCCTGGTTCTCCTCTAAGTCCAGCAGATCCTGGTAATCCTGATAAACCATTTGGACCCTAAATAAACATTTCAATTGAATATTTTCAAGAAATTCTTCATTGAAAAATATTTACTGGAAGTCCTGGAGCTCCTGGCAAACCTGAATTTCCACGATCACCTTTTTCACCTTGTGGACCTGGCATAGATGATATGCTTGAAGGTGCTGCACGACCTAAACAAAATTGAAAACAGTTATTATAGGTTCTCATTTTCTGGCTACTATCTAAAATCTATTCATACCTGGTTCACCTTTGGCACCTGGGGTACCTTGTGGACCGGGAATACCTATTAGAAAAAATTGTGAGAAATGGTCATAATAATTACAAAAATATTTCTACTCACCAACTGGGCCTGGAATACCCTTTTCACCTTTTTCACCGGGAAGTGTAACACCTGGTGGACCAATGTCACCCATTGGACCTGGACTACCTGGTGGGCCTGGTTGTCCTGGATAGCCAGCATCACCCTACAAAAATAATTGTTTTATTTTAAAGCAACTTTAACCATAGAAGATTTACCTTAGGTCCCATGGGACCAATGGCACCTGATTGACCATCACGACCACTATAACCTGCTGCACCTGAAAAAAAGAACAGAAATTGAAAACCAGTAAAATTTCCTCAGTGATAATTACCTTTAGCTCCACGATCACCTTTCAAGCCGGGAAGACCTATCGATCAATAGAGAAAACGATCAAATATGAAAAGTAAAAGTAAAAAACAATAATATTTCTAACCTGGTGTTCCTTTTTCTCCTGACATGCCTTGACTTGTTGGAGCACGAGCTGGTTCACCCTATAGAAAAAGATCTTGAATAAAACTGACATTAATTGAATTCAACTAACTTTGTCTCCTTTAGAACCTGCCTCACCATCCATACCATTTCGACCCTATTTTGAAAATAGAATTTACTAGAAATAAAATTCAAACATAAAAAACTTACTGGAGCACCAGCTGAACCAATGTTACCAGGATAACCTTGTGGACCAACATCACCTCGGTCACCTTTTTCTCCTGAAGTACCACGTTGGCCAGGTGTTCCTAAAAGGATATGGAAAATATAATAATCTTTTTTATTCATTATAGGGAATTACTTACCAGCTTCGCCTGGATAGCCAGGTTCACCTTTGCCTCCTTTCAAACCATCACGAGCACCACAAACACCATCAAGACCTAAGATAATGATTGAATTCAATTAAGATATTTCTTTTGTTTTTGATGATCAGTGAAACTTACCTCGGTCACCTTTGGCTCCTTTCATACCAGCGACACCCTGAAAACCAGGGGCACCTGGACTACCTGGTGGACCGACAGCTAGAAAAATAGAAGGCACATAATAATTATTTAAATATTCACTTGCAAAGAAATACATACGTCCATGAGGGCCAGGTAAACCAAGACCAGTTGTCGAATTACCAGGTAGACCGGGAAAACCACGTAGACCACGTTCACCTTGACACAATCAATAATAAATATGTTTAATGTTTGATCAATTCATTTTTTACCTTTTGCTCCTGGAAGACCAGATTGACCTGGAAAACCATCGGTACCGGCTGGACCGGGAATTGAACGACCGGGATCGCCTTTTGGACCTGGTTCACCTTTCGTTCCACGATAACCTATAATGATGCAATTAATTTAAATAAAATAATCTTCATTGTCATCATTGAAATTAACCTTGTGGACCAGGAAATCCAGATGCACCAGGATCACCTAAAACGTGATGAAAATGTTGAAAAACAATTGTTCGTTTAATCAATTATTTTCATACCAGGGCGTCCACTGTCTCCTGTAGCTCCTTTGATACCATCACGTCCAGCTGAAGAAAATTTTCAAAAGTAATCAATCACAATAGATTGTAATAACGGAATACTTACGTTGACCAGGGCTACCAGGTGCACCATCAAAACCACGATCACCTTTTGGGCCTAGTGGACCGGGTAGACCCTTTAAAATTTAATAGAAATAAAATATTTATTTCAGATCAACACTACTTACGGGAGCACCGGGAAAACCTGCGGAACCGGGTGGACCTTGAAACAACAAGAACAAGATAGTTTGGCATTGCTTTTATTTCATTTATTTTTCTCAAATCATTTACCTTGTTCTCCTTTAGGTCCCTAGAAAAATGCAATCATATAAAAAAATCTATTCCTTATCATTTATAATATTAACTTACAACTGGGCCTGGTTGTCCGGGTGATGCACTATCACCTCCTTCCTATAAAACAAGAAGTACATCGGTGAAAATCTGTATCACGATAAAAGCCTATAAACCTACAGGTAAACACATGCCGGGCATACCAGGAAAACCACGATCACCTTTGTCTCCTGGTAAACCATTTTGACCAGCTCTACCTGGACTACCCTATAGATTAATAGAAAAAATACAATATTATTTACTTTAATGTTTTAAACATCACATACAGATTGACCAGGATAACCAGGACTACCACGATCTCTGAAATAAGTAAAAATCAATAATCAATATTCGGTGAAGAGTATATAAACTTACCCTGCTTGACCAGGGAAACCAGCTTGACCAGGTAAACCAGTTGCACCCTATTGGAATAAAATTAAGTAATGAAGGCAAATGAATGAATATAAAGACTTACTCGTGGTCCAACGGGGCCTGGCACACCCTTTTCACCGGATAAGCCTGGTGGTCCAGCGGAGCCGGGGGCACCTGGATAACCAATTTCACCGGGTTCACCTTTAGATCCCATAGCACCCTATCAATAATAATAATAATAAATGTTAAAAATGTCCATTTTTTCAACGAGAGAAATTTTTACTTTTGGACCAGGAGCACCAGGAGTCGATATTGGAACAAAACTGAAGTTACCTTGTACTTCTTGACTTTGTGGACCGGAATAGGGAGCGGATGATCCCTGAATAAATTTTATAGATGAAAATACTGATTGCGTAAATATTAATACTCACTGGCTCTCCTTTTTGACCTTTTGAACCACTGAATCCAGCACCGGGACTTCCTAAAACAAATTGAAAGAAAATATAAAGTCAAGGAAATTTGTTTTTTCTATCGTACCTGGAAGACCTGCATCACCGCGATCACCTTTAAGACCCTAGAAAAATTGATTTAAATAATAATTTGAAAAAAATCCTATATCGTTACTCACAGCTCGACCAGGGAAGCCAACAGGGCCTGGAGCTCCAGGAATACCAGCACTACCAGAAGAACCCTAAACAAACAAATAATGTTGAGAATTCAATAAAAAAGAAAAAATGATTTAAAACGCACTGCAGCACCGGGAAGACCGGGAGCACCTGGGGGTCCCTAGAAATAAAATAGAATATGGTTATATGAAAGAACAATTCATAAATTGTTTTGCGTCCATACGATTTCGCCTTTGAATCCAGGTAAAGCTTGTGCAGGTTCACCTATTCGATAAAAATAAAAACAGAATGATTTTTTATTATTCCAACGATTTTTTTCTTACCTTTTGGACCTCGTTGTCCGGGAATACCTGAAAGATAAACAAAATAAAATATGTATTAGAATACATGAATCAATCAATTTCGTCAAAATCTATACACACCAGGTTCACCAGGGCGACCAGGCTAAAAGCAATAAAATTCAAATAGAATTTTTTCAATTATAATTAATATATTTATTTCACCTGTCCGTTAAATCCAGGTCGACCAGAATCACCCTATAATTGTATAGAAAGATATCAAATGAGATTGTTTTATTTTATTTTCTATTTTTACCTTTGTTCCATTGCATCCATCACGACCAGGTAAACCTGAAATAATCAACTATTTATTTTATCTCCTATCGAAAATATTCATAGTTTACCGCTTGGTCCCTAAAATAAAACAACAGAAATATTTTTTTTATATTTGATTCAGCGAAAAACTTACTTTTGGACCTGGAAGACCGGGTAAACCAGGATGTCCTAAACAAAAAGAAAATGTGAAGAATTAGAAAGAAAAAAAAAACAATTTTTTTTATATTTCATACCAGGCATGCCGGGTTCGCCAGATCGTCCCTATTTAATTACACAAAAAAAGAAAACAAGATAACTTTCATCAACAACATACATAATACTTACTCTGTCACCTTTTTGACCTGGTAAACCTGGTAAACCTCGTTCACCTTTTTCTCCCTTAAGACCTTCAGGTCCTGAAAATCAAAAAAAAATAAACATTTTATTATAGACACCATATCAAGCACAGACAAAAATCTACCTTCAGGGCCGGGAACACCACTTGATCCTCTATTACCAGCAGGACCCATTGGACCAGCTGGACCCTAAAAGCAATTCAGATCAAACACACGATTTAGTATTATTTTTCTAGTTGATTTTGTATTTACTTACTTGATCTCCTTTTTGTGCTATACAAAAACATGGTTGATTACAATTGTCACAACCGCCACCACTGCCATTTCGTTGTGGTTGATGTGGGTCTGAACCATAGCCGGGTGCAAATGCATAGCCGGGTGGTGGTGTTACAGGACCGGAATCTGGATACTAAAATATACAACAAATATGTATTAAGTGAGCTTCTGTTTTTGTGTAAATATATTTTTCTAGAGTAGATTCTCTAAATTAATTGTCTTTTTTTCGGAATGTATTTTTATAGTTTTACAAAAAGAATTTGTTTTTATATGACTACATACTCTTTGTTGACCATTGCTTGAGTCAATGAAGATGGCAAGGATAAGTACGAGTAAAATGGAAGCATAGTTTAGCCTAAAAAAGAAAAATAAACAAATATGTTTTTTTAATGAATGATTCAAGCGATTTCACACATGTGGTAAATGTCTCCTAGCAGACTTAGCGGAGCTTGTTAAAACAAAAAGCAGACAGATGTCTATTTATCTATATCTTCAAGGTGATATATGATATTTTTCAGTAGTTTGCCACTTGATGATATTTATTTATTATATATAAATTAGCGACGTAGTATAATTATGTGCAGACGTAATTATAGAAAAAGAACGAACGGTATTCAATGACTAATGATCAAAACAACTTACTTAGACATACTCAAGCATAACCAGTTTGCATTGATGTTTTTCGTTAGAAACATTAGACATACGCTTTTATCGATCAGTGATAAAACGACAAGAAACTTTTACTGTTGTATATGTTTGTTCTCTCTGTATCGTTCTCTGACTATCGCTGGTTAAACGGTTTCGAAACAGACAGTTTGTTTATCAGCAGCGATAAAGTCCTTCTGCCTTCGTTCTATCGTCTGGTACTATCATCATAGACATCAAATAAATATGGCCTTCGTACCATAGCTGTTTACCCTCGTAGCGCGATAATTAATAATTCTTCAATAATATGCAGGAAAGAAGAAGAACTACGTATTATACATGTACAAGACATTGATAGAATCATACCGAGAGACGAAGACAGTCGAACGCTGAGAGCGGAGCAATCAAACCAACAACAGAAAGCAAGAAAAATATGATAAGCCAAGGATTTAGTATATGATCTCAATAATCTATTCGTATCATAGGAAGGAAGACAAACTACTAAGGACGAACAACACGATATTGCCGAGTACTATCACCAACAGCATAAACAAGGGGAAAATAAATTCAACTAGTGACAGAGAATACGATGAATAATTACGAATGATGACGAGTTATTCATGTAGGCGTAGGATAAAATGTTTTTTACTGCTGTTATTGTTATTAATAGTACGCTGTTTGATACAAATTCACTGTCCTTCTCTTGTCGGTTCCTTTTTCATCGCTCATATTTTGTGGTCATTACAAACAAGATAACTGTGCTTATCTCATTTTGCCTATTATGTCTCATGTAAAGAAAAAGAAAAAACAAAATTTAGAATAAGTTGATATTTTCTGCAATACGCGTGACCTCCATTGATATTATTGAAAAATAACACGGAAGAAAACAGACAAAATAACCTTTGGTTTTCATCAAGAGAAACAGACGAATGCTAATAATGCTCAACGTTAATAGTCTGTCTATGTTTTCTACTAATAACACATAGTTATGAAATAATCATAAATATAATACTCGTAAAAGTGATATATTAGATAAAAAGACAAGGAAATCAGTAAATAGTTAGCGAACTATTCTTTAATTTAACTGCATCGTCTTAACATTTACACTTAGAGTATGGTATAAATTCTTTATTTAACTATCTCTTGTTAGAAGAAGAAGAAGAAGAAGAAAAAAAATGTTAAGACAAAAATAATATTCAATTTCTTACCGTGTAGTCCAGCCATTGGACGCGTTTAAATTATTCATAGTTAGTTGTATATTCAACTTTGCTGCTGAGAGTCACACGCAATAGAGCAGCGGCGACGGACAGTTAAACAGTTAATGTCCTCTCGTCGTCTTTTGGTCTATAACAAGAGAGTGAAGACCGAACGCGAGTTAGCGCAGAAAAAAAGTGCCAGCGTCACAGAAACTGGACTATTTTTTTCTTTTACACAATAATATCAACTGTCTTACCACAACCAGAGAAAGAGGGCTAGAGAGAAAGAGACGAGAGAACAGTGGGGTGACACTTAAATCCACCAACCAGAAAAACGCGGTTTTTTATTCTATTTCTTCTCATGAAAGATGAATATATTGACTATGTATTACTAATTCTGTTTTTTTCTGTAGAGTACTAAGACTGATAACATATATAATACCACATACAAATATACATAAGACATCTTTTTTTTCTCTTCACAGAGAGATATTCGCCCCGCTTAATTTTCTGCTAAGATTATTGTCGTCGATTTTTCTCATCCCTCTTACATTTGTTGTCGTCTACCCTAAATAGACATAAAAAAATAGAAAAAAAAATCTAGAAAAGAGAGGGGAAAAGCAAAAAAAATACATGTTGGAAAACTCGAACTTGTTTTTTTTCGGGCGGGTTACTGTCCTTTAGTATTACTGCGGTTATTAAGTAACCAAGAGAACTGAACACGTTTTTTATCTAACAAACGTGTCAAAAAACATCTTTAGTATGAGATAGTTTCTTGTGATTTTGTATGGTAAGATAGAATATTTTAGAAAAAACCTTTTTGCTTAGATTTCAGATATACTAACTGTTAAATATTGTTAAGCCGTGTCTGTGTGTCGACGCGCGCGATGGCTTCTTCGTTGAGGCCGATTCTCATCGGTATTTTTTTATGTTTCTCAATTCTTACTTTAATCGAAGCTCGAACGGTAATTTTTTCTTTTTGATATCATTTATGATAATTCATCTTCTTGATAATTTCAGGCTCAAAATGATGGCGACGAATCAGATGATCGAGTCAAAAGACAGTTCAATAGATATCCTCAAGCTCCATCAAGACCAAGTCGATCGGGATATGATAGTGACACATTTGTTCAAGGTTCAGAATGTAAAGGTTGTGGACCACGACGTGATTGTCAATGTCCTGGAAAAGGTGCTATGGGTCTATCTGGTAAGCATTTTATTTTTCTTATTTATACGATTTATTTATTTATTCTTTCTTTCTTTTTCTTTTTAAGGTCCATCCGGCTTTCCTGGTATTCCAGGCGATCGTGGTTTGAAAGGTCCTGTTGGATCTGCCGGTAATACCGGTATTTACGGTGAAAAAGGAGATCGTGGTTTATATGGCAGTAAAGGCGAACGAGTAAATTTCAATAGTTTATTTATTTATTTTTATTTTTTTGCTTGTTTTCTCATGATCACCTAGGGTGATGATGGTTTACTGCCTATTGACGGCCAAAATGGTTTTCCTGGACAACCTGGTGCTATGGGTCCCCGTGGTATTTCTGGTGTACCAGGATGTAATGGTAGCAAGGTAAATAAAAAAACATTGCACCATAATATAAGATAACAAGCCTCTGTATACGTATTTACTACATGTATAATAAGATAGATAGTCCAGTTTTTTTCTTCTTTTTTCTTCTTCATATGCATAAGATAAGCACTAATCGCACATACATCAAGGATGATACGGCGTAAGATATCAACACAAGAAAAAAATATGTCAGAAAAAAAGCTTTTCTAATTCTTGTTTTTCTGTCTGAGAAACATAAGGAAAAAATAGTCGATTCCATAGCCTTGATAAGAACTGCTTGATGTCAAGATATATGAAACCGCATATGCATTTTGTTTGTCGGATATCCTATTTTAAGCTGCAGACATTCTAATTAACTGATTTATTCGTTGTGCATAAGACCTTGTAGATTTTCTCCATATGTATTGATAAATAAGTGGAAAAACGATGATTATATAAACAAAAAATATGCATTATGTTTTTTCCTCTTTCTTGTCCTTGATGGTCTATTGCGATTTAATGGATTATTCATGTACAAATATGTGCATACGTAGACACGACTATACAATTATTAGAAGGATATGAGTCGATAAACAACATCTGGCAGAATTTATACAAGCTGCTGCCTACTCGCCTTGCCATCAGCTAATCTCATAAGTGATCGTTACTTCTGATATTTTTATCAAATGACTCATTATAAAATATGATGAAGAAGAAGAAGAAGAAAAAGATTGTGCTACTTTTAAATTGAAATGCACTAAAGCAAATAGAAAACTTGTCAAAAAAACAAATTACAGATATGATAAAAGATTTTTTTGTGAATGTGCTGAAATGTTTTTTTCGTGTATAACAAGAATATCTTATTGTCGTCTAAATTAATCTACGTGCCACTGTCAGTGAGAGTTGACTATGATTGATAGCATAACAAACTGATAGTAAACTTGCGGTGGTGTAAAACATTAAAGAATATCAGCATTATTTTTTTCCGGGATCAAGGTCCAGTGCGTAAGGTGAACAAAGATTGATGGATTCTATCATTAGCTGATGCATATGTACACACTGAATACATATATACATTGAAAGAAAAACACAATATGATCGATTGTTTCTGACAGAATGAAGGTTTTTCGTTTATTAAACTGGTTTAGATGGCATGTGGTAAAATGGGGAAAAAATAGGTCAACAATGTAGAATAAAATATAAATAGCATTATTTATCTGTTTGGTGTCTGAGTACAAATCGTAATCAGTGTACTGTTTGATTATAGGGTGAATACGGCGGCGATGGACATCCTGGTCTAGATGGTATTGCCGGTTCTCCCGGGTTACCTGGTCGTGAAGGTGATCGAGTAAGATAAAATAAAATGTATTGTTCAAGTAAACTAATAAATCATTAATAATATCAATTAGGGTGAACCAGGTGATACAACAGGCCTTAATGGTGTTATTCTTGGACCACGTGGTGATCCTGGTTTACCCGGACAACGTGGTGTTGTTGTAAGTTTTCTTTGAAAAACGAAAGAGAATTTGTTTCTATCAAAATATCAATAGGGTTGGCCTGGTCCTCCCGGTGCTCCAGGCAATCCAGGTTCAGTTGGAAATCCCGGACAAGATGTAAGTTAATTTATCTTTTTATTCCAGCTATATAATCTGAATCTATTCTTTCGGTTTCAGGGTATGCCTGGATTACGAGGCGATCCTGGATTTCCCGGTGAACCCGGTCAACCAAGTTATGGTCTCAAAGGTAAATAATTTTATCGATGAGAAAAAGAAGACATTGATATTAATTTTTGTTCTCTTTTTTTAAGGTGGTCGCGGTGAACCTGGTACGATAAGAAGAAACATAATAAAAATGAATTTGAAAACAAGATTTGCTTTTGTTTAGGTGATAATGCTCCCACACCGGCCTTTGTACCACCATTTGGTCGTTTAACAGGTATGTAGATTTCTTAGATTATCATATGAAGAAGAAGAAGAAGAAGAAAAGAAAAGACTCTACCATTGGATTCAGATCATATTTGAGTGAACTTTTGCGTTTTATCTGTTTTGCTTGTTCATTGCTTTGATATCCTTACTTGGATTTAGTAGACCGAATGTGTGGAAATAGACCCTGTAAGTATTCATATTTATAAGACTACACTACAGCTTAACCTATCCATGCTTTTTTTGAAAAAAAACAGAACTAAGACGAAAGGGGCGAGCGCGAACGGATTATGTTTTTTATTGATAAGATAAAAACTAACGTTCGCATGTTCTCAGCTTTTTATTATTATTGTTATTATTATTATTATTATTATACACATTTGTTTTACTATAAGCTTTACAGCGATACCCAGGGAGCAGTCGACTCAGATAAAACCGACAGTTTTTTTCTTCTATGCTCCTTATTCACTTTCAGCTTGAAGTTTTTTCTTCTCATCAGTCATTACTTTATAAATTTCGTTGCGAATAATACGCAATGTATTTATTTTCACGAAGGTCCAACAAATGTACAAGGACCACTAGGTCCCCGAGGTGCAGATGGTGATCGTGGTTACAAAGGAGATCGTGGTCAACAAGGTTATTTGGTATGCGAATTTATTTAATCGTTTGTGATATACGAAATCTGGTCTTTTTTTCTGTTTCAAGGGTATCAATGGTTTACAAGGACCAAAAGGAGAAAGAGGTGAACATGGTGCACCTGGTTCACAAGTAAATGAATGCTCGAGTAGTTGTTTTGTATTTATTTGTCTTTTTTAAAAAGGGAAAATTTGGTAAAGAAGGTCCACAAGGCGCATTTGGTATCAAAGGAGCGCAAGGTACGTCATTTTTTTTATAAACAATTTTTTGTTTGATTGAGATATTTTTGCTTTGTTCTCTAGGACCACCCGGTCCAGCTGGTTTCGATGGTCTTCCCGGTGGTAAGTTGATTTTTCAGACAGCAAATATAGTTGTATCATGTTTTTATTTTATTTCACAGAACCTGGCCGAAATGGATATGCAGGTCCAAAAGGCCAACGTGGTGACATTGGTGAAGCTGGCCCAAATGTAAACAATAGAATTTCATTTTATTCTACTTAAAATTAATACTGTTTTGTTTTTATTCATTGTGTAGACGTATGGTACTAGACGATCGCGTTCACGTCCTGGACCGCAAGGTTACCCGGTATATATTAGAAATACTTAAAGTTTATACTGAATTTCTCTATCATCTTATTTTCTTTCTAGGGAATGACTGGTGATTCTGGACCAAATGGGTTTGCCGGTGTTCCTGGTTTACCTGGTAAATAATCGAAAAAATGATTGATGATAAAAATCAAATGATTTTATTTATAGGTCGAGAAGGTATGAAAGGTGAGAGAGGTGATTATGGTTCACCTGGTCGACCTGGTCCTATGGGTGAAACAGCCGATGCAGAAAAGGGTGACCGTGGTGTTGATGGTATGTATTAAATGATGCACTGTTTTTTTATGATAATAATTCCTTTATTTTTTATTCAGGTCGTCCTGGTCCTCCCGGTTTACCAGGGTCTGCTGGTAATATTGATTGCCTGTTCACTTTTTTAAATATTAGCATTTAATCCTTTTTAGGTACACCCGGTGATAAAGGTGGTATTGGTGATAAAGGATTCGCTGGTGAAGATACTTATGGTATTTATTTTATTTTTTCTATGTCTAAAAAAAATGATCATTTCTGTATAGGACCACGTGGTACTAACGGTCTTCCGGGTCGTAGTGGATGTAAGTTGCTTTTGTTTTTCTACTTGAAAACAAATGTTTTATGTATTGTCTTGTTTTAGATCCCGGTTTGTCTGGACCCCCAGGTGATATCGGTGAAGAAGGTCCACCAGGTAATTATTCTTTTAGTTTGATATATGGATGATAATCAAATTTTGTTCTTTATTGTCAGGTCCTCCTGCTGAACCAGGTTTTCAAGGCTTTCAAGGTGAGAAATATATAACTTTTGTGTCCATTATATTCTAATATGTGATTGTTGATTTTAGGATATGGCCCACCAGGTTTACAAGGGTGAATTATTTTCATTCGTAACGTATTACTTTTATACAATATTTTCTTATTCTAGATACCCTGGTCGCTCAGGTCAACCTGGTACACCTGGTTTTCCTGGTATGTACTTTGTCTTTTTAGCAAGATTTACTAAATCATATCAATTTTTTATCGTTTAGGTGTTCATGGATCTAAAGGTGATGAAGGTACGTATTTTTGGAAGAAAATATATGAAAATCTATTTACTTTTTGTATTTATTTAAAGGTGATGCGGGCGGTTGTGGATTTTGTCCACCTGCAGTCCCTGGTCTTCAAGGTGATCGTGGTAGCCAAGGCTATCGTGGACGACCAGGTGTAAGTATTTGTTGTATTAGATATGTTGTCATTATAATAGTTATTGTTTACTTTTAGCAACATGGTGCACCCGGTTTTCGAGGTAACCCTTAAATAATATTTTTAATTGCAAAAAAAACTAAACCTCATTTTTCATTCAGGCGAAAAGGGTGATGCCGGATCAGCTGGACAACCTGGACCTACTGGTTTACCTGGACCGGATGTGAGTAATTCGTTTTAGAGAAATAGCACTGTTTTATTTTTTTAAAATTTTCTTCAAGGGACTTCCGGGCCGAAATGGTTATCCAGGCAGTTCAGGGCATAAAGGTGAACCGGGTGAATTGATTGGTGCTGATGGTATCAAAGGTAAATATAAATAGTTATCAAAACAAAAACAAAAAGAGATAATATTATTTAATATTGTTTAAATAGGCCGTCGAGGAAGCCCTGGGGATCCTGGCGTTAAAGGTTATTACGGTGACGTTGGTGAAAGTGGTATTAATGGACGTGATGGGTATGCATTTAATTCAAAGCATGTGATAGCTAAACTTTTATACTTTGACTTTTAGTTATGATGGTGCTCCTGGTAGCCCTGGTCCACGGGTATATTTTTGTTAAAAATCCATTTTTTTTGTTCAAAATAATATTCTCTCTTTCTACAGGGTGCTTGGGGTGAAATTGGTCGATCTGGAGGTGTTGGATCACCCGGAGCAAAAGGTAAATTCAATGCTAAAACAAGTATAGAATATTGATGAATCATAATATTATTTATTAACAGGTCCACAAGGTCAACCTGGTCCACCAGGACAATTATTTGCCAGTGGTCAACGCGGTGAAGAGGGTGAACGTGGTACTCCAGGTAAAACTGGTCGACCTGGTATTCCTGGTTCACCTGGTGATGATGCACCAATATTATATAATGCACCTGGTGCACGTGGTATGAAAGGTTATCCTGGAGATGCTGGGTAAATTTTTATCTTTTAGAATACTAGTATAATTACATTTCTGTTATTTATTTCTAGATTTTCTGGTATGCCTGGTAAGTAATCAAACGAAATATTCTACAAGTAGTTTTATGTATGTATCTGCGATGTAACTAAGGTGCCCCTGGTTTACCTGGCCGAGATGGTGCACCTGGTTTGAGTGGTAGTCCCGGTCAAAAGGTAAAGAAAAAAAAGAACTTATTTTGAATTTACAGATAAATAAATGTATCTATACATATATTTAGGGTGACAGTGGCCGACCTGGTCTTCCTGGATTAGCAGGTTTGTTAAACTAATCATATTTTTATCGAAAATTATACATCAATGTTTGTTTTTTTAGGCGAAAATGGTGTTAAAGGTAGACTAAAAATAAGTTTCGTGTTTCTTTTGCTAATGATGCTATTCAGGTTATCCTGGTCTTGATGGGCGATCTGGACTTGATGGACGGTAGGAATTGTTTTTAAATATTTATTTAAATTATAATCTTCATCTTTTACTAGACCTGGTGCTCCAGGAATAAATGGCGCATCTGGTTTACCTGGCTTGTCTGGTGCTAAAGTAAATTCTATACTTTATTTCTTGTCATAACTTATATATTGGTTGTTCGTATATAGGGTCAGCGTGGTGAACCTGGTGTTGCAACAACATCTGGAGCACGTGGTAATCCTGGTCCAAAGGGTGTTACTGGTGAACGTGGTAATCCGGGTTTCTCAGGACCGCGTAAGCTATTAGCAAGCTCAATAATATTATTTTGAAATTGGGCATCGTTTTTAGGTGGCGTACCCGGTCTTCGAGGTGTACCAGGCAATCCAGGTGAGTGAATACTATACGACATAACGATTGTTTTTAATGTTACTTTGACTGTAGGTGTCAATGGTCTTCCTGGACAATCTGGTCTACAAGGATTGAAGGGAGAACGAGGTATGTACTATTATATTTATAAAAGAAAAATAAGTACATTTGAATTGTTTTAGGCGGTACATCACTAGGCCTGTGGGGTGATGTTGGTTTGCCCGGTGCTCGTGGTCGAGCGGGAGGTAAATAATTTCTTTTAATAAGTGCTTTACTGATAAATTATATTTCTGTTTTTTTTAGCTCCCGGTAGAGCTGGAGCTGCTGGTGCCCCTGGTCCAAATGGTCTTCGCGGTTCCCCTGGTGATTCAGTACGTTTTCTAACAATGAAAAAAAAATCTTATTATCTGTCTCTTATATGAATAGGGCTTTGCTGGCCAAGATGGAACACCAGGCTTTTCCGGCAAGCCAGGTGACCGTAAGTATTCATGCTTGTCGATTGAATATCATTTACATATTTGCTGGTATAAAAATAGGTGGTGATGACGGAAGTGCTGGATATCCAGGATTATCTGGAATGAAAGGTAAACGTTTATTATATTAGTTTTCCTTGTACATTATACTGTTTTTATTATTTTTTAATTTAAATAAATTAGGTCGCCCTGGTATTCCTGGTGAACGTAAGTAGAAATATGATTTCTTGTTGAAAACATAGCTCAAATCATAACATTAAATTCAGGTGGATTACCTGGTGGTCCTGGCCTCAATGGGCTTCCAGGTTTACCAGGTGCTAAAGGGTTTCAAGGTAAACACTCAGTTTTTTCAGAGAGAAAGATTTCAGCTATCATTGCTTTTCTTTATTCTAAAGGTGATGTCGGAGAACCAGGTGTCGGTGGTGGTCAAAGTGAACCAGGTCGAAAAGGAGAAATGGGTAAATTTGTAAGAATACATCAGAAAAGATTATTCACTTTTATATTGTAGGAGAGGCCGGTCTATCAGGTCTACCAGGCTCTAAAGGTGCTCCAGGCGATTCTGGTCTAGGCAAGTATAGAAGAAGAAAAAATAGAGACAAGAGCAAAGTTTACAATATCACTATGAATTTTTTTTTAAATATTTTTAGGTGGTCTTCAAGGCCCACCTGGTGAATCTGGGTATATACAAAAATTTATATAAAACTGTTCTGTATCCATTGTCTTTCTTTGCCTTATACTAGATCACCTGGATTCGCCGGTGCTCCTGGCCTACCCGGTCGTGATGGTAAGCTAGTCAGTTTATGTCTAACCGTATTTTTATACATAAATTTCTTCTTCTAGGACGTCCTGGCTTACCAGGTTCGAAAGGTGAAATGGGTGGTTGGTACAAAGGCGTTGCTGGTCAAAGAGGTGAACGCGGTTTACCTGGTCTTCCCGGTCTTCCCGGTGCTGCAGGTCTTCGAGGAATCGTACGTACACGTATATTTCTAATATTCTGGGATATTCGAATTTTTTATTTCTTAATCCATTCAGCCTGGCGCACCAGGTCTCAATGGACCACGAGGACAACCAGGTCAAGTTGGATTTCCAGGTAAATTAATAATTTAAACTCAGTCATTGATTATGTTTTATTTTCTTCAATAGGCATGCACGGTCCAATCGGGAACCCTGGATTACCTGGATTCAAAGGAAAATCAGGAGACAGTGGTATGTAGACGGATTTCGATGAACAATAATGATTGTTTATCTTTAATGTATAGGTCTTCCGGGAATGGCTGGACAACCTGGTGATCGTGTAAGTTTGAATAATAAAGTTACGTTGAACATATATCTATATTCATGTTTTCTTTCTTTTGTAACATCTAGGGTTTACCTGGTCGTGCTGGTTCACCCGGTCTTCCTGGTTTTAAAGGGCCGGTTGGTGAACGTGGTCGAGATGGAATTGCTACAGCAATGGGTACTGAAAAACAAACTGACAATTTCTTTCTTTAATTCAGTTAAATTCGTTTATTTCATTTTCAGGACCCAAAGGAGAACCAGGTGATGCTGGTGGACCAGGTATGCCAGGCCTTGCTGGTTTGGCTGGTGATGTTGGTATGTATGATTTGAGATTTTCTTTGTTCACAAGTTTATATCTGTAATTTTTATTATTATAGGCCTTCCGGTAAGTTCATCATTGACAAGCATATAATTATATGCTCATATTTTTATTATATTATTCAAGGGTGCACCAGGTCTTCCAGGCTCACAAGGGCAACCAGGTAAGATAATTAGAAAACAATCATCTTTGTATTATCACACATATATAACTGATGATTATTTACCTATTAGGTCGCGATGGATATCCTGGTTTACGAGGAGAAAAAGGTTTAGTTGGTATAGATGGCAAAATAGGACGGCCTGGTAAATTATTATTGAAAAAAATGATTAATTCTATGGCATGCTATCGCTTGTTTTAGGTCAACCTGGATTTCAAGGGCCTAAAGGCAATTCTGGATTGCCTGGACGTCCAGGTCTGAAAGGTGTACCGGGTGAAAGTGGTGTGTAAAATATATTTCTTTATTGTATTGATTTAAATACAGGCATATGACGTTCTATTCTATTTTAGGTGGTCGTTCATTACCTGGTCCTCGTGGTGATCCTGGTCGAGATGGTCTTCCCGGTCGTCCAGGCCTTAGGTAACTTTTAATTTAGTGTAGTATCTTAGATTAATTTTCTTATTCTAGAGGAACACCTGGTGATGCTGGTCAAGCTGGCCCCCCAGGTCGTAATGGTATGTCAATTTTTGTTTCTATTTGTACTTATTTCTGTTTTTTAAATCAAATATTTTTTATTTTCAGGCGTAGGATCAGTTGGTCAGCGAGGTCAACAAGGAGATCGTGGCCAAGATGGTTTACCTGGCCGACCAGGTTCAAATGGATATCCTGGACGAGATGGTAAACCAGGTTTAGCTGGTCCACCAGGTATTGTCACACAGTTCATATCTACAATAATTATCATGCATTAAAATTAAGGTCTACCGGGTCTTGTCGGTGCTAATGGTCTTTCTGGTGCTCAAGGTATTCCAGGGGCAAAAGGATTACCGGTAAAATGAAGAATATCATTTTTTTTTATCGAATTATAATCTGTTTTATTTAGGGTCAACCAGGACCACCAGGAAATTCAGGCCTACCAGGTAGACGAGGTGAATCAGGCACACCAGGTATGACTTTATTTCTTTGTTCAAACAATGTAAGATTGATATCAAAATTCAATGTTTTCAGGAGCTCTTGGAATTCCAGGTCGCAAAGGAGAAAACGGTGATGCTGGTTAGTTTTACTTCTATCGCACTACAATTCATACATTTAAGTTTTATTTTATTATCAGGTTCACCAGGTTTGAGTGGACGTCCAGGTTTACCAGGTCCAAAAGGAGAGACAGTCCTTGCAGAAGTATGAATTAATTATTTTCTATTCTAGAGAAAAGTGATTGCTATTTTTTCTTTTCATAGATTCGAGCACAGTCAGGCAGTAAAGGTGCACGTGGTGATCAAGGATTATCTGGTGAGTACATTGAATATTTAAAATATGATTCATTATACATCCATGATGTTGCTTAGGGGCTCCTGGATTGCCTGGCCAATCTGGTCTTCCTGGATCGAAAGGCTTTCCTGGTCAAGTTGGTCTTCCTGGTCGTCCAGGTACGTAATAAGTTTTTAAAAAAAAGTCAATGTAATCAATAACTATTTTGATGGCTCTGTTTTCTGTATAGGTACTCCAGGTTCTTCAGGTGCCCGTGGTCCAGTTGGTGACCTTGGTTTACCTGGAGCGTAAGATTTGCAATATTCATTTTGTTTTCTATTTAAGCTAATTCTATTTTTCTTTAGTGCTGGTCTACATGGTCAACCAGGTCCACAAGGTAAGTTTTAGAAAACATAACATATAAAATGCACAGGTTTTCTTCTCTCGTAAATAGGTAGTGCTGGACCTCAAGGTTTTCCAGGTGATACAGGTGATGGCTCATTCGTATTTGTACGGTATGTAATCATGACATTGAACTAAATCCATGTACATCTATGTTTTTTTTTGTTTTTCTAGACACAGTCAAGATACTACAACACCACAATGTCCACAGCGAACAGCTAAATTACAAGATAGTGGTTATTCATTTATGGGTATTCAAGGTGATACATATGCAGCCCATCAAGATCTTGGTAAAATTTTCATTAAGAGAAAAACGAACCAAACTTCTAATTCTTTCTTTTCTAAATAGGTTCTTCTGGAAGTTGTTTACGTCGTTTTAGTGCAATGCCATTTTTATTTTGTGATATTGGTAATTCGTGTCATTATGCTTCACGTAATGATTATTCATATTGGTTATCAACAAATGAACCGATGTCAGCAAGTATGGCACCATTTGAAACACGTGACATACCAAGTCATTTGAGTCGTTGTGTTATTTGTGAGTCACCAACACCCGTCTTTGCTATTCATAGTCAATCACAACGTGTACCAGCATGTCCCGATGGATATGATCTTTTATGGACTGGTTATAGTTTTGTATTTACATCGGCTGATGGTGGCCGTGGTGATCAACAAAGTCTACAATCACCTGGTTCATGTCTTGAAAAATATCACGATAGGCCATATTTTCATTGCAAAGATCATTCACATTGCAATTATTATCCAAACATGATGACATTTTATTTGGCTACATTAGATGATTATACTGGATTTGAAAAACCGACAGTACGTACATTAAAAGCAGGCACACAACGACAATATATCAGTCGATGTGCAGTCTGTCATGCAAATTTATATAAACAAACAGCCAATGGACCATCGGCATTTTTTGCACAAGTGAAGAAACTTTAAAAACATAAACATGAACTACTTTTCCATGTGTGTCAATTGGACATATATGTTATACCGCTCTCTCTCTCTTGCTCTCTTTTTTTCTCTTATTTGCACTTTAACTTTTTGAACTTAATAACAATGAAATGAGTTTTTATTCTTTTTTTTCTTGCTCTTCATATGTATGTGTGACGTATGGTAGATTTTATTTGTGTGTGCTATATTACTTTTCTTTTTTTCTCTCATTTTTTTTGGTCGTTTATCTAGTCAACAGCAATAAAATATTCAAACATCAGAGACACACATATTAAAATCATGTATTTGTTGAAAATTTCTTATCAGAAAGAAATGAAAGGGAATGGAGAGAGAAATCTTCTAAAAAACAAATATGATTTATTATAGAATTAATAGATTCGCTGATATTTATTGTACTAATCTAGTAATTCCTCTAGAAAATCATACCCAAGGATGATTTATCGTTTAATATTTCGTTATCAAACTGTGCACTTAAGAAAAGCTATTATGAACTTTGATGATTCTTGCATTTCACCTGAATTATTTTATATGATAGTTGAATTCGTTCGGTTCGTATAAAATTTTTTTATAAACTCCTCCCACACCCGAAAAAAACGATTGCAGCATTTTGCCTAGGGTACATCAAGAAGACATATATTTTAAGTTTTTTAGTCCAACAATACAAATTTTACTTTAACCTTCTTATCTCTTATCTTATGCACTATCAATACGAACACCGCCAATGCAAATAATCATATTCTACTGACAACTCACTTAACTTAGTAAAAAGGAATAATCTTTGATATTTGCAATGGCAAGTATCTAGCTGTTTATATTTTCAAATCGAAAGTTAAGGTCCGTGGTTGATTAGAATTTTTTTTGTCTAAGAATTTAATGCATCGTAAAGTTTATGTTGAAACATGTCGAACATCACTAGTAAGTAAATATTTTCCCCGGTCTATTGTGAAATTTTTTGAGTATCAAAGAGAAAGTAATAGCTTACTAATGGACAACGGAAATGAATTTCCTTCGGTGAAAAAATACTACGGAATAATAGGCTGTCGAGAAAAAAGTGATTTATGTTAAACTTCATTGGTATCAGTAGTTATATAGAAGAATTGTAAAAAAAATATAGAGAATAAGATGTGAGATTTTGGTTTAACCTTGTAGGAATACGAATTCTCACGAGGAGATCTCTCTAAAAATTTCCTACGTTTCATCATCATAGAAAATGTGAATTATTTAATTGTAAACCATACAGCCAACTATTGTTTTACTCTCGCAAAACAAAAATCAAGGACAAACATGTTTTACAAATCTCTACAATGCGAATGATTTACTTTGCATTTTTATCTACGTATAAAAATAAACCACAATATAGAACCGATAACAGCTGTATTACAAGCAAATGAGTATTGTGTTTATAGTGAAAATAAATTATTCAAGTTTTCATCTCGGCTGCTAAAATTCACTATACATCTGTGAAAACAAAGAATAGAAAATTAGATAAATGATGATCGTAGAAGTAGGTAAAACAGAAATTAAAATTCTTCATAGAGAAATGTACTATTCTATGGCGTTTTTACTTTTTATTCGCTTATTTTAATTCCATTTTCTTTTGTTATACTATCAACGTAAACAAACTTTCCTTCTTCGCCTTTCTTTTTTTTTATTACTGCAAGAACCAAAATTTGACTCTTGGCTGGATGTCTATACAGGCACGAAAGAATCAAGATTTCATTTCTTGAAAGTCAGCCAATGAAGCAAAGCGACAAAAAACAGAATATTCTCTTGCTTGCTGAATCGCTATGTACTCAATAATCGATGTTCCAATTCATATTTCATAACATGTTCTATTTTGGAAATTATTTGTAAATCAATTGTACGTAGATGTTTATCTGGTAGTGTATTAATATTGTTCGAGATGAATGAAAACAGAAACAAAAAGAAACGAGCTTATCTAGTTGTCTAAATAAAATATTGCTATTTATTAAAGTGGCTCTACTTGAATTATTTTTTTTAAAGAATAAAGAATGGTTATTAGCAAAAGTCTGTTTATACCTTTTGGGTTTTTTCTTTTTGTTGACTTGTGAATCAAACCGTGTGTATAGCTACTCGAGTATGCCGTATTAGACAGAACAAGAAAGAAAAACGTTAAATTTATTTTCTACGATCAAGAGTGAAGCTCAACATTTGACAAACAAATTGGAGTCACAGAAAAATAAACGATAATAAAGATGAGACAAATACTATGGTCTTATGTTTTAACAATACATTTTAACTGAATATTTATATATACATAAAGTCTCTATGAGAAAGAAAACAGCAAATCAATCACTTTTTCTTTCTTCGCAGGTTTATGTATGTGCTCTTTCTTCAACATGTACATTTAATTTCTTTTTCTTTATAGAAGAAAAGCGAAGTGGGCAACGTAGGAGTGAAAGAGAAGTTTTGTTGTCGTTTCATTTCAGTCTACACATCAGACGCTGCTAATTGGCCTTCTACCGTTCAATTTCTTCTTTTTCTCTTTTCTTAAATTGAGTTTTTGAATGCTGCTAAGTTACCATAACGATTTATACAATTGTTCAATTCTATGACCCTTGTTTTGTCGATGCTTGTCTCGTCGCCACCGGTGCCACTGTCATCGATGTCTCACATCGATAGTAATACTGATCGTAGTCATATAACAAATAAATCAGCACCATTAATACCACCAACAATCATACCAAAACATTTCAATGTTCCATTTGCTATTCAACATGGTTATTTTCGGTGTATTCGATATCTATTACAGCTGTGTTATGATCCAAATGAGCGCGATGGTCAATTGCGTACACCATTAATTCTATGTTCGTACGTAGAGAATGATCGATGGAGTTTATCGATTGCACAGAATCTACTCGAAAAAGGAGCTAAAGTTGCATTGGAAGATCATGCAAGACGAAATGCGTAAGATGAATAAACGTTAAAAAAAATATTTTTATATGAAAAATTTTACTTTTCTTAGATTACATCATGCGTGTGCTCTTCAACGAATGCATCTCGTTCAACTATATTTATCCTGTTTAGATTTTAATATCGAGGCAAAAGATTGTGAAGGAAATACTTGTCTGCATTATGTAGCAATTACGGGTAATGGTGCTTAAGAGTCGTTTTTTTTAATGCATAATTTTGATATTCTATCATGGTAGGTAATTGTGAAATTGCTGACTTACTTATGAAAACAGCAGAAAAAATGGATATTCACCTTGATCAATGTGTTAATCGAGACGGTGAGATTAAATTTTCGTTCTTTAAAAATTTGAATAACTATTATTCGAATTCTTCAGGTTGTTCAGCAGCAGTTCTTGCGCTTAAATATGGACATATTGAATGTGCTAATCAAATAACTCATCGGGATTGGGACGAATTTTTCGTAGTACCTCGTCCTCTATCGATCTATGAAATTACACAGAAAAACGATGATAATCACACTCGAATCACAACAGGATCATCGAAAAAAAAGAGTCGAACAACTTCTAATACTACGGGAACACCTAATAAAAGTGATATTCGTCCGTCTACACTTTCGTTTGGTTTACTGAAAATAATTTTCAATGAAAACGATTCAAGTTATTCAACACGTTTAGCTGGACTCTGCACTGAAGGTAAACCGCCACATCATCCTCGACGGATACGACATAAAAAACAAGAAACATCGGAACGACTGAGTGATTTCGAAAAGGCAGAATCTACTTTACCTAGTTGCACACATTATTGTAGCACAGAAGCATTGGTGAATGAATTACAAACTGTAACAATAGCAATTCCAGAGCGTAAAATAACGTTTGACGATAGTGAAGACGTTAATAGTACGGCTCGAACAAGCCCACGAGTACAACTATTAATACAACAGCATTTAAATAATAAGACAAATCTATCAACTGAAGATACTCTCATGTCGAATAGTGAAGTTAAACCTAAAGTAATGGAACGACACCAATCGAGTTCAACTCTGAATTATCTTGAACCTTCAAGTTCGATGTTTCAAGGTGGGTCGTCACAAAATAAAAATAAATTACAACGTCCGAAAACTGCGATCGTCACTCGCAATCAAACATCAGTGAATGCCGTCGGTGTCCCATCTCGTCTTAGCAGTGCAAAAATGCCGCCAACACCATTGCCTCGAAAATTTAAGAAAAAATCAACTACCATCAATCGCCCTAAATCAGCGTCGGTTGTTCCTAAGTCACAATTACAACAACCATCAAGTACGATATCAGACGTGTCATCATATTCTCAAACATTATATGCTGGTCGTCCATTATCAGCTGCATTACAAAGTCATCATCGTCATCCTCCGCCTCCAATTCAACGAAAAGTTGACTCGTCATGTTCAATTCGTGAAGCCAAAGGTGCAACAAGTCGATATAATAAACCCGAAGAATTATTTGGCCTGAAACCCGAAGAACTTTTTGGTCTACAAGATCATCGACCGACAATTATGAATCATCGCAAAACAAATGATCATACACGTTTAAAACGTAATAATCTACAACAATCACCACCAGCAGCACAACAGCATGGTTGGCAAGAAGATGTTACTAAATTAGCTGATCTATTTAATATACATCATAGTACAAATTATCGACCGTCTGCTATGCCACCGCCAGTCGTCATCGAAGAAAATACACTCACTGAATTAGCGCCAACTATAAGATTTCGACGAATGTCAATATCAAAAAATACGTTGGGTATGTCACGTTCATCACTAAATCCTAAACAATCAACATTAGCAGCACTGAATATTCCTCGACGAAATTCAATCAGTCAACGTTCACCGATCAAAGTGGCCAATACATAGACATCGAAAATTTGTTTAGTCTTTCTATAATTTATTACTTACTAAATGCCTATTTTTTGATCGTTGTGCTAAAACAAAAATGTATTATTTGCAGTTGAAATTTTCAAAAAGAAGGCCTTTGATGATTATTAAATACATACATTGAATATGTTTGATTATAATATTTTATCGTTGTAAAAATTGAATAGAAAACTCAGCAAGAGATTTTTATTAGCTTTTTTTCAATTCTGTGTATATAAGCGTAATATATTTTTGTTTTGTAATTGGCCTCAAATAGATTTATTTAAAAATAAATTTTTATGGAATCAAAATCGTGTTTCTTTTAATGCAAAAGATTGAGAACGTTGCCATAGAAAAAAAAATACAAATGTTTTTCTTTTGAAATAAAAAAATCATTTTGTATGGATTGTTGATTGCTCGCTGATGTATCGCGCTGATATTATTCTATTCAGATAGTTGCATTAGTAAATTTAGTGGATTTTCTGTTGATTGTGATGAATTTCGAAGCATAACAGCATATCGTTTATCCCAATCACATTTTTGTTTGGGCCGGTGTTTATTACCACTGGAAACAAATCTCTCCAATTTGTCCGGATATTCACAAGATTTTTTCATAATTTCTATATGTTTTCGCCATTGCTGATCACATTGATTTCTATCGACTAGATTTGTAGTTACATTATTGAAGCGTTTCATTAGAGCATCATTCTCATTATTAATACGTTTATAGTCGATGATGCGTTGTTGAGAATATTTTGCATTGAATATATCTAAATTTTTTTTGTACGTTTGATTTTTATCGTCAACCATTGCACGTTTTCTTGCTGCGTATAAACGTTCAGATAGAACATTGTTTTCACGTTTAATACGTTCATATTGTTTTTTCTTCTCGAAACTAAATCTTAATCGCGAAAGTTCAACTTCTTTAACGTGTTCATCCGATAAATAATATACATTTGTACTAAGGACTTGTTGACGGACCGTTGAAATATATTTCGAATATTCTCGTTCGTGATTTTCACGTATTTGACGTTCGGTACGTTTGAACTGAAGAACATCTTGGACAACAAATGGCATTTTTTCAATCGAATGTAATTAAGGAAAATTCTGCATGCTACTTTATTTTCTTTCCCGACGAAAGGTATTTACTTGAACGCAAAAAGAAAAACTGACTAATCATGGGCGAAGAAAAAAAATATAAGAAGGCATCGGATCGAATTTCTATAGTTTATTAATTGTTTAGTTTTCTTTCATATTCTTTTATATAGTTATCAAGGTAACTACGCAAACGCTTAGCATAAAAATCGACATAAACAGGCGGTAATTGTTTATCGAGTTCATTTAGAGATTTTGCTAATTGTCCAATTGTTCGACTGAATGGAACAAGATCTTTATTGCCATATAAATCTTTGGGTTCATAGAAATCTGCGTTTAAATGATACCAAAAGACATTAACAGATATTGCATATGTATCCAAGGATTTGACATTATGAAACCAAAGAGCTAAAATAGAAAACAGCTCAACGACTAAGAAAATTATGTTGAATTTTTGTTCGTTACAAACCAGGAATATAAAGACAATCTCCTGGTTTTATTATTCCCGTATAATATGTTGCTTGACGAACTAACGGATATGTTGCAAAATCTGGATTTTCAATATCATTGACCAATGACTTATCGCCGTCAATATAGAGATAATCAATATCACTTGGTTTAAACATAATAAGTCGTTTCGTACCATGTACTTGAATAAGAACATTATCCATGATATCATAATGTGTCCATAATTGTGTGTCAGCTGAACCGACACGCAATACGCTGGAAAAAAATTGCTCTGCAGAAAACAATGGCGGATATTTGATATCGCTGGCAATCGATGGAAAATGTTTTCTAGAAATAAAATAATTCAAAAGACGAAAGGCGGCAGAATCGAATAAACGCCATATATTCAAATGCGAGAGACTCTATCCAATCAGCATAGAAAATCTATCACAACCCGCTCTGCAAGCTAATGATTGTAGTGTTGAACAAAGAGAAAGCTTCTCTGAATTTTCATAGACTAATGGAGAGATTTATAATTCTATTATGAAATGATGATATTCTTACTCTATATTTGCCACATCTGTTCGTTGATTATCACCAAGTGCTCGAAAATAATAACGTTCATTAGGTGCAAGAAAATATTCTTCATTAATTGTTTGTTCACATCGATGAATAAGTTTATTAAATGGTAAATTTCTAGATTAAGATATAGATAAACAAATAAAACAAAGTGTAATATTATTCTCTAAATCATACTCGTATGTGAAATTTTTGCGCACAAAATCCATCATTGCATCTTGCGAAACGTGTATTCGCACTGGTTTTGCACCTATTTTGGTTGCTAAATAATCGCTTGTCCATTTCTCTTGACATGAACCAATGTCAAATTTGTGTAGAATAAACGGAAATCGCTGAACAACAAAATTAAAAATTTCGTACGAGTGTCTCAAGGGAATTTGTCGAAAGTCGTTTTCTTTTACCCCATCAAATTCATCATGACTATAAACTAGTATTCTGTGATTAAGAGTAGGTGCTCGTGATATTTCACTTTATGCTAGAGATATCATTCTCCGGCAAAAGCCTGAGGGATGATTCAGCTATTGAGAAATCTTGCATCAACTGAGGCCGTAGTACTGATTTTGTTAAACATTGAAATAAGAGAATCACAACTTGTAATTAAGCTTTTCTTGTTCTTATTCAACAATGTTAATTTAGAATGTGTATTGACTATGAAAACATTGAAACTCATTACGGATTCTCAATCATGAAAAGGAAAACATTTTCTCTTGTTGCATTCGAAGTCGTAATGTTCTAATCACGAGGAGAATCATAAAGTCTTCTCATTATAAATTCTCCTGGGACTCTTTTCTATCATAATGTTCCAAACAGATGCAAAGCAAAATATTGTTGCCATTAGCAAGAAACCTTCTTCTATTAAGAAAAACACAAATAAGGCTACAGTTTTCACATTATCGAAAATAATTTTGTGTGCAAAAAAAAATAAATGAGAATAAGATCGTATTACTTTGTTCTCATCTTGAACAATATCAATAGCTTCGTCGAGACTGTCTGTTTCATAAATAGTCGGCATCTACAAACATTACATTTTTTGTTTTACTTCAATAAACTTCATATAGATAAATATTAATTCAAATTTTCATTTGATAACCAACAAAAATTAATAAAAAAGAAATGGCAAACGTAAGCATTTTATTTTTATTAGAAAATAAACACAATTAAAATCCATAAGTATGTCGTTTTCAACCTTATTCTCGTGTCCATTAGCTTTTCTATTCATTTTAAAGTTCACTTATTATTAGATAGGTCACATCACGCATTTCTTGAGATTCCTTTTACTAAAGGAAATATGGCGAGTTTTAAGAATAATATGTGCGCATTTATTCAAGTGTTATTCTTTCACGACCATATTTAACTACCTTGGTATTTGCATATCAATGGCACGGAAAAAAATTCTTTTCTCTTCGATTAATTTGACGACTACTTATGAATAAAATGCATCGCTACAGAATATGATTTTTAATTACTATCTGAAAACAAGCAATTTATTTCCGGTTTTCAGACTATTTAATTTAATGATTTCATTTTTCTTCTTATTCAAATTAAGATTATTAATAACACTTACGAAAGTAAATAGATTGATACATGCCACAAGTTTTGATGACAAAAAAAAAGCAAACACGCACACAAGAGAGAAAAAAGAAAAAATAACAACAGTTAAAAGAAAATGCAATATCCAACAGTCAAAAATAGAAACAATGTATACGTGTATGAATTAGCACCAACAGTGGATATAGTATAAAGAAGAAGAAAAAAACGAACCACAACCAAAACAAAAAAGAAACGAAGCGAAATATTCTATGTGAACAACACTGTTCTTCTGTGGGAGAATATTAATGTGCATGTCTACAACTGTTCGAAGAGCATGAGAGACTCTCCTCTATTGCACACTCACACAGGCTTTTCTATATACACAAAAAATAACTATACACATTATGCATTACAGGCCAGCGTCTTTCTCTGTGTACATATTTTTTGTCTAAACGAATAGAAAGTGTTCTACTCTCAATAATGCATACAATAATAAAATAAAAACGGACCGCAATAAGGAATGCTACGATAGTTAATATAGTATTTGCATAGAATCTAGATTAGTTTTTGTTCTTAAAACATAGTATGTGCAAAAAATAGACATGTTCAGAAAAGAAGCAAACAAAACAACGTATGCACACGCGTGAATAAGCTGAAAAGAAACCTACTCAATATAGTAGCGACTGTTTAAAATCAGCACGAAAATGACAAAAAGAAAGACGAAAGGGCACTGTATGATAAAGAGCAAAACGAAGAAGAAGACAAAAGAGAAAACGAAGATCACACAAAACGAAAAAATTCTTCTAAACTACGACTCTTTGATGATGAATATCCTGCAATGCAGGTATAACATCGCCAACCGATGCAAGACGTTCAAATATTGGGATAAGTGTGAGCAACTCAGTATCGTGCATGTCATCGAACCAACTTGTAACAGGGACCTATTTTTGTAAACAAAAGAAAAACAGGCAAATTTTTAATTAAATTCCTTTTTCTCCTAGTTCAACATTACGGCATTATCTTGATGAAACAAATAGGACAATGGTGAGTTATCAATAATGATCACTTTTCGAATATTTCGACCTAGCCGACTAAGGTCTTTTATATAATTTCCTGAAAAAAACAGAAACACAAATGAGATTTTTCCAATTTTTATATTTACCATTATAATATGTACAAGATTCACGGAAGAGTCTTGAACGAAAAATATGTTTTGGATCAAGTAAATCGGCTACGGGATCGGCATACTTTAAGAGGCGAAAAACAAAAGGCCATTATTATAGCTTTATCTAAGAAATAAATTACTTTTGCTAAACTAGCAGTAAATAAAACACATTCATATAATTCGCCAACACGTCGTAGAAATTCATCGACATGTGGTCTTTTCGTAACATAGATCTAAAGAGAAAAAAAAGTGTCATTAGGCGAACCAACAATTTTTTATTCATAGATTTGACATATCATGTTCGTTTTCTTATTTTACAAAGCATATCGAATAGAAAATCGATCTCTTTTTCTTCTATTTTGACATTAAGTGTAGTACATTTATCTTGTTGTTTTTTATGGGTATAAATGCCGGTAATAATTAAGAACTAGGGAAAAAATATGTTGCAAAAGAAAAGAAAAAGCTGAGACTTTTCATTTTGTTTTATTCGGTGTTCGTTTGATGGAAACGAGTTGTAATTTTTTATATTTGAAGTTTTGCTTTTAACTCATTATGCTCTCCAGGTACACGACGTGATAATAAAAATAGTTGTATGCCGTTCAACGGAAGTAAATTCTATTTGTTAGATATTCTCGAAAGAACTTTTTCTAATTCTACATATTGATTAATTCAATATTCAAAAAACGAGATTTTTATGCAAATCGATTAAGCAATTGTTGTCTTGTAGTTAATCCTACCGCTGTTACTTCCGTTAATTAGATACTCACAATTTTCTAAGTGAAAAAATGCGAAGAACAATAGTGCCCTTTTAAAAATGAAGGCCATTTTTCGAATAAGACTATTATCGTTAAACTTACTTGGTGTACTTGTCCATCGATTTCAACAGGAACAACAAAATCAGCATTGGGGGCAGGTCGAAATACTGAATGTACGAGTGTCTCATCAAGATCAATAACTAAACAGATTTTTCCTTGTTCATTATCACGTAATGTTGGCAATAGAAATTTTTCATTAGACTAAAAGTAAACAACGAAGAATTAATTTTCTGAACGAATAATAATTTCTTATTTAGTTTTAGTTCAATTTCCCAGAAGATTCACAATCAAAACTTTTGGTTAATCGTTGTTGTTTTTTCTAATATCCCAATCATCTGATTAGACAAATACGCATATATATATATATATACCTCTACATGAGTGGTTATCTCAGAATGCAACGCAACACGCTACAATAATATGAATAAAATAATCATAATGAAAAGAAACTTGGAGATTTTCTTTTCTTTTCAATTCACCTCATGATCGGCAGTCGTACTTGCTGCTGATGCATATGCTGTTTTAGCTTGTCGTCGTCGGCAAGATCCACCCAAGCAACAAAAAAATAGAGATACAAAACGTTGCTTTCGATTTGAACGAGCTAAAAGAAGAACGGCATGAATTTTATCTTTTGTTTCTTCTCTTCTATTGACTACTTTTAGGTCCATTTATTGTTTGAGATGTTCCAGAAGTCGGTATGGGCATCGATCGATTTCTATCATCGTCTTTTGATACTTGAGTTACGATGGATGAAAAATCGATTTCTTTCGATGTCCGGTTCATGATGAAGAGATTTGGAAAGAAGAAGAATATTTAAAGAAAAAACTAGTCGGTACTAAAAATGTGTGTTTTTGTTTTTTTGGATGACGAGCTAGCCGTTGCTCGTTGGATGATCGAATAAAATTTGGCCAAACGTCATGAACGCTTGGAGAAATAATAATAATAATAATAAACGGCAATGATCGTGAAAGGAGACACCCTTCGGCCCCGTCACAATCTATAAGAAAGAATAGAAATTTGAATAACCGTTAACAACATAAGAAATAGATAGATTTTTATTTGTTAGCTAAGCACACATGAGGTAAAAATGAATAGCCATATATATGCTATGTAACAGTAGCCATTATCAATCCACATAGTCCTTCACAATTTCGCAAATGTGACTTGATTCCCACTGGCGACCTCTGATTTTATTGATTTAACGATGCCTTAGAAAAACAATTGAGAGTAATGAAAATATTCATTTATTGTTATTTTCCAGTAAACAACAAATATATTTCTATCATTTTTAAACAAATATATCAATTGATCAGATGACTTCGATGAGTCATTTGTTTGTTTTTACTCTCCCCTTTCGCTGTATGTCAGTGTGGCTATACTTGATCTATTCCGTATCATCATACGAATATCTAACATCAATTATCTATTTATTTTATATAATGAAAATGACCATAGATATGAGATCTTTTTTTTTTATAAACATGATGACGGTGTTTATATCTTCCTTATGAGGTTATAGTACATATTCGATGGTTTGTTCGCATCTCTGAATACTAATCACATATGCTTAATGGTTTTTATATGAATTTTTCTAGATCGATTATATTATCCTTTGTTTTTTTTTGCCCCCATCTCTCCTATTTCTTTCCTTCAATCGATAATGACTTATCCGAAAAAAGAACTTCATGTGGCGTGTAATTATTTATTACGATTGATGAAAGCACATGTTACGTTAACAAATGAACAAATAAATCTTTTTAAATTTACTTTTCATGATATTTTATCGAAACGATTTGTTAACCATTGGTTTCCAGGTAACAGAAATACATGCTCGATCATGTGTATTTTATTTTGGTCGCTTTTTTTTCAGCAACACCACATCGCGGTAGTGCATACCGATGTCTACAAACGAAACATTGGAAAGATCCTATTCTAAAATCGATTGCGGATCGTTCGCTTTTGCCACTTCATCGCTATCTACCAGCCATATTCACAATTTGGATTGGTAAATATTGTTCTCAGTGTGATCCATAGAATTTCATGCGTGTAGAAAGACTAAATCTTGTATTAATTCGTTTTTTGAATCAGTCAAGGTTTGCCATTGATATATTTTACGATAAGATGAAAACGATAGTTCCCTATGTCAAGGTTTGACTAGTCTCAATAATTGTCTTCGATTTTTCTATTCTGTAGATCCAGGTGAAGTAGCTGTTTGCTTTGGTGATGAAGGTACATGGTGTCCGTTGTATAAACACGATAGTGATGGACAAGTACATCAAGAATATAGCGATGGAGAAGACACAACTTCATCATTATCATCCGATGATGATCTACTGAGTTTGACACAAAATGTGAAAAAAATAAATGTAAATGATGTGCAATCAAAACAAACTGTATATTCTAATGATAGCCGTTCGTTGTCATCATCAAGTACTAGTCGTACATCAAGTCCTTTCTCTAATACTATATCAACGAATACACAATCGGTGAATGATTGTGATTATTTAGGTATACCTTTTTGTTTTGTTTTCTGTTGATCATATGTTATGCTTGTTTTTTGTTAATAGGATCGAATCTTTATTCTTGTCAATCGCAAACAAATGATTGGAATGAACAACAGAATAGTTTTTGGCCACAGCAATTGTCCATGTCAGATTCATTGTTATCCTGTAATCGAAGAGAAAATTTTTAGAAAAAAATAAATAAAATCATTCATCTTTCTGTTGTCGTTGTGTTTTTCATTGTCTAGATATTTATTCAAACATGTGTCCATATATTCATCAGATCTGAAAATTTATTCGCTTTTATATAAATATATATTGTATGACTGTTGTAACACTCCATCCAGCTTCTTTTTTTCTTCTTCTTTATTTGTATGTCAAAAGAAAATTCAGAAAAAAAACCAACAAACAATCCTATTTATTCGATGGCGTGCGTCTATGAGATATGATGATTGCGAAGGAAACAGGGGGCTATTGCGTAAATAATGATTCATGAGAACAGGAAAGAAAGAGAATGCGAACAAAGTATAGTTATGACATAATTACACCAAAATGTGTACTTGCGCAAGATTTCTAAGTTTTATAAATTGATGTGTTTTTTTCTGTAGATTTTCTATTAACTATCAATAATCAGCGAGAGTAATTGTCATGCCACAGGAAACAAGTGACAGTGCGTCGTCAACTGCAGTGATGATGGCTCCACAAATGACGGCGTGTCCTTGGAAAAAAACGGAAGCAGTACCAGCTTCAACTTCGTTTCGAGAACTTATGGACGGTGATTTAGCAGCTAAATTACAAAAAGAAGAAGATGAAAAATTTGCTCATACTATGAGGTAATGTTTTGTAGAGTCCACTTTTCCTATGCAGCTAAGGTGTTTGAACTTGTTTTGAGATTTTTTAATTATTCGCATTTACATAATTCTAACATAATATATTCGTTTTCGTAGCCACTATTCAAAGACACCTATTGAAACTGAAATATCTGTATTAACCGAAGAAAATGAAGATGAAACTCCTATTGATCCATCTTCAGCAGAAGCTGCTCAAGACAGTGATTATCTATTAGCTTTAATGCTTCAACATGAATATACCAATGAATTTAATGGCATGATGAAACGATACGAATCAGCCGTTAATCGTCAGAGCAAACGTATGAAATTCTATTTTCTCGTTCAAAATTAAATTTTTATTATTTTTTTTGCAGTTAAAGTTTCTTTGAAAAATTTTATGCTGTTACCTGCGTCAACATCTAATAAAAACGATACCAACGATGTTGAAGATGATCTCGAAGAAGCCAAAGAGACATTCAGCGACTGTGAACGAGGTACTTTTGCTATTGATTTTTTCTTTTTTACGCTCTCGAATTATGTTTTCCTTTCTCCTATGAAGATCATCCAATGCCTTCATTTAATCGCCGAGGTACAAGTGGTAAAGGTGATTCATTAGTCACGAAACACAATGCTGAACTGTGTGGTAAACGCAACGTAGCACGTGTTATGAATACATTCCCCCCTGAATTCGATACGGGAGATGTATTAAATAAAATGCAACTACCAAATCGTGTCTATAATTCACTTAGATTGCATTCATATGCTGAGGAAAAACGCATGAATCGTTTACATGATAAAGTTGAAAAGGCTACCGCTGTAAGATTTTGCAAAGCGAAGAAAGATAAAATTCATAATTTCTTTTTTTCTCTTTATCAAATAGAATTTAGCCTTTGATCCAAAAACAAGAATTATTCTATACAAATGTTTAAATGCATGTATACTTGATGAGATCGGTACGATTATTGCCACAGGTAAAGAATCCATTGTTTTATATGGTAAAGGCGGCAAAACAGAACTACACAAAATGCCAGCTGAAGTAGCCGTTAAAATATTTAAAACAACATTAAATGAATATCATACACGAGAAAAATATCTACGAGAAGATTATCGTTTTAAAAATCGCTATAAGAGTCTTAATTCAAGAAAAATGGTCAAACTATGGGCGGAAAAGGTAATGGCTTATTTAAAGAAACAAAACACTACGATTTTTTTTGTAGGAAATGTTTAATTTACAACGCCTCCAACGAGTTGGAATACCTTGTCCAACGCCGGTTCTACTTAAAAAGCATGTTCTATTCCTTTCATTTATCGGTAAAGATACAGTACCAGCACAACGTCTTCGCGATGCTATTCTTTCACCAGAAGAACTTGCCAGCGCTTATCAACAATGTTTAAATGTAAGATCGATAAGAAATGACATTGATTTTCACAGTTTTTTTTGTGTTTTTTTAGCTAATCAAACGCATGTATCATGAATGTAAATTAATTCATGCTGATTTCAGTGAATATAATTTATTATGGTTCGAAGATACAGTCTATGTTATAGATGTAGCACAATCGGTTGAACCTTATCATCCAAATGCATACATATATTTACTACGCGATTGTACAAATCTTTCAACATTTTTCAGTCGGCGATCTCTCAATGAATACGTTCTAACACCTGAAGAAACATTTAATCATGTAACCAATCTTGCATTTGAAAAACGTGGACAAGAATTTCTTAACGAAGTGCAAGCCTATGAAAAAAATATTCGTCTACAAAGCGAGGCAGTGAAAGAAAAAGAAGAGTTTTCATTTGATTATTTTTTTAATCAAACGAAGAAATTGACTGACGACGACGATGATGATGATTCTTCGAGTAATGAGGACATTGCTGATGAAGGCGATGATGATGATGATTATGTAGATATTACTAGTGGTGATGAATATTTAAACAGAATTCCTTTCTCGAGAGGAAAGAAATCACCAACACAAAAAGCTAAGGTTGTTAAGAATTCTCCGTAATAATTTATTTTTGTGTGAGGTTTTGATTGTACGCATATCGTTTTTTTGTTTTTTTTTGGTTCTGCTATTGATCTATGTTTCAGAATAAAGCTATATACGTTTAACTATATCAATGTTTTTTAAAAATTATTTTATTTCGATAAGTAGAACAACAACAGCTGATCACGAGTGTATTCGTTAGTCACATGTTGATGTGCGCAGATCAATTTTTATTTCACAGAATGAATAAATTGGTTTTTGCTCTATTTTATCCTTTCATTCTTTTCGCGTGACATTTTGATTGCGTAGAATATATAGGTTTTTTTGGATATCTCAGACCGCAGAAGGAATACAATCAGTGGAGTCTTATGTAGAAATAAGCAAGGCATTGTATTGGTCCATCGTAATTACGAATGAAAGTTAGTAAATATAGAATGGAAAGATAAGATAGTCATTGCAGTCTGGTGTTGCTTACGCGATACTCGAAGAAGAAAAAAACAGTAAACGTGTATAACAAACTTTTTAACTTTTACTTTTCAGATTATTACATTTGATACTTCAATAGTTTGTTTTCGCTTATAATATGTCGGATCAAGCATCGTCTAGTGACACTTCTGGCTCGGCTGAACTTAAAGCTGGCCATCCTCCAGCTAGTAGGAATTGATCGAATTTTCGTTTCGAAGTCATTTTTACTATTATTATTTAAATAGCCAAAGTAGGTGGTATGCGTGTTGGTGCACCTCGACCTCGACATACATCGAATGGTGAAGACAAAAACGCTGCTGCCGAGACTACTGAAAGTGCTCAAGAATCTTCAGGCGATAATGAAAATGCTGAAGCAACTGCTGGCGATACTGGTAATGATGAATCGTCAAGGTGAATGTCCAGCGTGTTGAAGACATGAGAATAATTATTATTATTATTGTCGATTTTTTCTAGCGCTGTTGCTAACCGAGCTGCTGGTGAAATGGTTTCAGGCGTATTTGTGCCAGTATGTAACATTGTTTATTCTAAATCTTCTCGATTTGATGAATGAAACATGATACGATTTATTGCTTTAGATTGAAAAGGCCTTTCCAACCGAAGCTGTAAAACATATTCATGATAAACCAGGCACACACCCAAAGAATGAATTTCATTCTCATGCAAAACATACGGACCAAAAATTCATCGTTCAACCACGAAAGCAATAGATATTTTATGCAACAGTTGACAACAAGAATATCGACTTATGATTGGAGCTTTTCTTTTTTCATGTTATTTTAAGGCTTTTTGGTTTAGTTTCTCTTTTTCATTTTTGTTGTTTCAAAAAAATATATATATATATATATACACCAATAAATATTCCAGCATCAGCTCATGAATCATAAGAGAAAAATTAATTTTTCTTTATTTGAAGATGATCTTATTCCGAAAATGATTGTTTACTTGAAAAGGTAGATGATCCAATTTTTTTTCTTTCATTCTTGTCTTCTGTGTAATCAGTTGCAGAAATGTACTAAAGTGACGTCACGATGTTGGCAGATAGAAAAGAAAAAAAAGAGTTATAACATTAGATAGAGGTAAGTTTCATAGAGCATCAAGTATTTCTGTTTCTTCTCGAAACAGAACAGTCCGAAATGATGGCGAACTTCTCAGATTAGATTTGCTATAATTTTGAAGAATTGAAGAATAACGATTACCGACGATGACCATGCATTATTGATATTTTAGATGATGTTTTAGAAGTTATAAGATAGAAATGACAACTAAATCTAGACCGATAACATTAAAATCCAATGCTGGAAAATTGTCGCCATCGCTTTCAGTGAATAATACTTCGCTACCAGCCCATTCATCCACATTAAGTCAACAATTTGCAGACATTATTCGACGTTATAAATATCATTTACAACATATTCAACGGTTACTCAAAGAAACAGACAAATCCTATGATGAAATCAATGAAACACGTGTTCTTACATCTGGTACGACAGAATTTTCTTTACCTAAGCAAGAAAATAAATTTCTTTTAGACAAAATTTCTACGATGCAAATATCAAAATCTGATCGCGAATATCTTGATGCATTAAAAACACGACCATTAGCATTAATCATTTGTTCGCAAACCTACAGTGGAAAATCAAGATTTGTTAACGAGTTACTAAATGAAACTCTACTGCCGGAATCGCCGCATATTAATAAAAATGATGTCGTACGAATGGTTCGAATCAAGGTAGAGGTTCGTTTGTGACTTTTTATCTTATATCACCGAGATAAGACAGCAAAAATTAATAGAACTAAAAGTTAAACCCGTCCGATCAGTTTATTCGCCTAAAATAAGCGTTAAGCAAAAAAATCTTTTGATTACTTTGATAAGAACATATTTAAAGCCGAATAATATTTTCAAAAATAATTCTTACTAATTTAGAATCACGCAACACAGGGCGCTAGCTTAAATATAGCCGGTTCATTTGAATGGATAGATGCTGACATTATGTACAAACCTGTATCGTGGACAAGTGTGCCTCGTGAGGATCTAGTTGTAAATGGTGCTAATAACTGTCGTTCATTAATGGATACTGATAACGTAACAGATGATTTCGAACAACAAGAAACAGCCACGCTGGAAATACGTAAACCATTGGATTTACTTAATGATGATTTGCAAATAGTTGTAACACCGAGTAATCAAAAATTAAATATGAAACAAATCTATACACAAATAACGGAAAATATTGTACCAATATTTATCTATATTATCGATCAAGAAATACTGTCCGCTAATGATATTGATGAATTAAGATTTTTTCGTTCTATTGTACCTAATGAGCCGATTTTATTCATTCGTATTGATCAATCCGATAAGTAAGTAGAGATTAGTTTTATTTTTAATGAAATCCTCTGAATTATTTTCTAGCGCATCGAATACCAGTGAAACGCCGTGTGTTCAAACTTTCAGGTAAATCAACCGTTGATAACCATGAAAATGTGAAAAAAATATAGGTTTTTCTTCTATATTTTTAGACAACTATGTGACCTTGGTTTTCTGTCATTTTTGAGCACTGAAACGACGGATAATACGTCAGACACAACTCCTCTTTTTCAAAGTGATATGATTGATAATGGCCTAATTAATTTTACACATTTTCTTAATTATATTCTTAAACACATCGATCGATTAATGATTCGAGCTGGTAATAAAAAGAAATTTTTTTTGTTTTTTAAATATCGTCTTTTTTAAACATATTCTTATTATAGTGAGCATTTTACAACGATCACACGAGATTTGTTTAGATCTTTTCAATGACAGTGCATTTGATATGGCCAGGTAAATGGAGGAGCTTCGAAAAAAGGTTTTCTTCATAGGTGTTAAATTATTTTTGTAGAGATATACTTGTTACGCCTAAGCGCTTGAGTTACGCACGTGAAAAAGAAAAAAATCTGTATGAATCATTGGTTGCACTAACAAATTCTAAACAAAATGAAATTCAAAAACTAATTCTACAAGCCGTAGATGAAATGCATGAAGTGCTAACAGACGAAGCTTGTTCACTTGAAATTCCAGGTATCGAACTAACCGATCAGTTAACTGTAAAACATGCAAGAGATTTGAAGAAATGTACCAGCGTTATACAAGAACAAATTCTTGTGCGATTGAATGAAATCATAGCAAATAAATTGCTAGATTCGATTAATGTTCTACACGATAATTATGTTGGCACGTTGACACGTTGTCTTATTAGTTTAGAAAGCAGTAGGGATGATGATGAAGCGGAGCTATCAGCAAGCAAAGCATTGCAAGAGGTAAATTATTTTCTTTTTAACTATTTACAATTTGTCATGCGACAGCCACTGTCTGCCTTTAGATTCTTCATTCCGCATACGAAGTCAATCTATCGTTACCCACCAATTCAAATTTATTTCAAATATTAATTGATAGAATGAAAGAAGTAATTCACTGATTTATTTTCTCATTGAATTATTCTATTAGTTTTTCTGTTTGTAGTTGTTTCGAACATTCAGTTGGCATAATTTTCCTCGTATTGATCCAGAATTCAAACGTTCCGTTGCACTCAATATGTTGAATAGTCTTAGTGAAGCAAAGTATGTTTGCCATTTAGCTCTTTGTTTCGACGATAATCAGTTGATGGTTCTTTTAAGGTTAGCAAAGAGTGTTTGTTCACAATTAAATGATCGTATTCGAATGTCGCACGATAATTTTGAAACTCTACTCAAACAACTTGATCATCGTCATACGGATCGTCTGAAATCAACTGAAGATAAGCAGCAGCGTGTACGAAAAGATTGTACACCTAGAATAGCTCGACTATTACTTGAAAGTACATCGTTAAAAGATCTTATTCAATATGGTTTACCAAAGCAAGGACGTGAAATCGGACGAGGACAATACGGTGTTGTTTATGATTGTAAAAATTGGGCAAATCATCAATCGTGTGTATTGAAATCGGTTGTACCGCCGGATGATCGACATTGGAATGATCTGGCTTTAGAGTTTCACTATTTAAGGTATTTTTGAGATTTTCTATAGTGACTAGCCGATGTTGTTTTGCTTATTTCAAAGGCGAATTCCGGAACATCCACGAATTGTTCAATTGATTGGATCGGTCATTGATTATTCTGATAGTGATCAAACGCCCGTTTTACTCATTATGGAAAGACTCAAACGTGATTTGTATGGAGCCTTAAAAAGTCGACTCGAATTTTCGATTAGGTAATTTACGCGAAAGTCAGTATCGTTGATTTTTGTGTGATGAAAAAAACTCTTGTATTTAGAATGCATATCGCTTTGGATGTTGTTGAAGGTCTAAGATATTTACATGGTTTGGGTCTTGTACATCGTGATATAAAGTTAAAAAATGTCTTGGTAAAATATTTGCGAAACAGTCGTCTCGAATTTATAATTATTTTCTAGCTAGATGAAGCCAACCGAGCGCGCATTACTGATCTTGGCTTTTGTAAACCCGAAGTCATGATGAGCGGTTCTCTTGTTGGCAGTAAGCGTCATAGATTAATTTTCAATTCTTATTTATTTTTCAATATATTCTTCAGCACCGATTCATATGGCACCGGAATTGTTTACATCAAAATATGATCATACAGTCGATGTCTATGCATTTGGCATATTGTTTTGGTACATATGTTCCAATGGTGTTAAATTACCAACGAACTTTGATGTTTGCTCGTCAAAGGACATTCTTTGGTCAGCAGTAAAGAAAGGCGTAAGACCAGAACGCTTAATGGACTTCAGTGATGAATGTTGGGAAATAATGACAAAATGTTGGGACACTGAACCATCTCGCAGACCATACCTAGGTGAAGTTCAAGAGAACATTGAACAAATTCTTAATACTACAAGAACAACGACGACTGCTTAGTTTTGGACCCCTCATTTATATTTATTTATTCTTTTACGTGTTATCTCTTTTGTTCGGTAATTAATAATAATAAAAAACAAACAACAACAACAACAACAACAACTATAGAATAAGAAAAGACAGGTGTCAGATTACTAATCGTTTTTCATTTTTTATTTTAAAGTAACAATGAATATTCTTATATACATCAACTGTTATTAACAGGTTAATTTGTCTGTTCTTTTTTTTGTTTGTTCATTTTAAAACGAATGAAACCTTAAATTTGGACATTTTTTCAGATGACAATGAGCGCAATTGAATTTGAGGAGCCTGATCAAGGTGTAGGTGACTTCGTTCTTTTACCTGAAATTACAATGGATGCCTTTGTTGAAAATCTTAAACTACGGTTGGATAAAAATTTCAATGTAATTTATTTCGAATAGAATTTTGTTTTGTCATTTCAGTTTTGAGAAAAGACGTATCTACACATATATCGGCGAAGTTTGTCTACTTTATCGTTTTATTTAATTGCAACTAATTTCCGTAAAACACTTTAGGTAGTTGTGAGTGTGAATCCTTATCGTGAATTGTCATTATATAGACCAGAATATATAACAAGTTATAAAGGCTGTGAATTCTTCGAACGACCCCCACATATATTCGCTCTGGCGGAAGCCGCATATCGAACATTAAAGCAACAATCGTCGAATAGTTGTATTGTCATTTCTGGTGAATCTGGTTCGGGTAAAACTGAAGCATCGAAAATAATTCTTCGTTATATAGCAGCAGTAACAAACGTAGAAAAACAAGCCGAAATTCAAAGGTAAAATAGAAACTACGAATTTCTTGTTCTAAATTCAAAAGTTCGTTTAGAATAAGTAATATTCTTATTCAAACAAATGTTATCCTTGAAACATTTGGAAATAGTCGAACAAATCGTAATGATAACAGTAGTAGATTCGGTAAATATATGGATTTAAATTTTGATTGTAAATTCGATCCAATCGGAGGAAAAATTCAACATTATCTACTTGAAAAATCTCGTGTTGTTAAACAACAATTAGGCGAAAGAAATTTCCATTCATTTTATCAATTATTATCCAATAAAAAGTCACTTCAAGACTATGGACTTTATCTTAAACCGGAAAATTATTACTATATTAATCAAGGACAATGTTGTCAAGTCGATAGAATAGACGATCGACAATATTATCAACAAGTCATAGAAGCATTTAATATTGTTGGTTTTACGCAAGATGAAATATCAATCATATGGAAAATAATTGCTGCTATCCTACACCTTGTAAGTTGAAGGAAATCTCGTTGTTGTTTGTTAGAAATTTTATTTGTCAAAAGGGAAATTTAACATTTGCTGATGTTGATGGTGAACATTGCTCAATCGTACGAGTCAATGATCAAACTGATCCACTACAATGGATATCGAAACTTTTAGAATGCGAACCGTCCGACATATCATCAGCATTAACTTCACGTGTAGTTGCAGCACGAAATGAAGTTTTTCAAACTCGACAAACTATCCTACGAGCTTATTATGGGCGTGATGCGTTAAGTAAGGTAAACCCCCATCTTGACTATAGAAAATAAATGTGGAAACTTCGAGTCTCATCCGAGAGTTATGTGTACTGTAAAAAGTGCATGGAACATATGAGTCATTCTAGAATGTCTGAACACCAAAATTATCATGAAAAACTAGGCAATTTGATTTCTGGATGCAGTTTTTGTGCATTTGAGACGTTTTTCAGGCGATGTTTCGTTAGAAAGCTACGATTTAGTTCAAAACTAATATCAGATTCGGAATCAGCGTTAAAAACTGAGTCGATTTATATATGTTGTGGATAATTCTGAGGAAAAAAATGATTTTTTTGAAAAATCCCTGTACTTCGCCTCAGGGATGATCTGATCAAAAATGACAATTTTTTCGATAACTCAGCCATTTCTTGACGGATCCTTCTCATCGACCTAGATATCGATGAGACAATTCTGTGCACAAAATTTCAGTTCAATCGAATGTAATTGTGAAGAGTTATCGAATAAACGGACGGCCGGATACGCTGACCGATTTTAGTAGTATACTCACTTTTTGAGTACACAAAAAAGGTTTATTCATATTTCTTAGAGTTGTAATGAATTGTGCGACAGTCGTTTAGAATGATGTTATGTTTTTTTTAGGCTTTATATGAACGTCTGTTCGAATGGCTTATCAAATATATCAATAAAACCCTATCTCAAGACGATAACAAGCGAATAGAAAATTCACGTATTATTGGTGTACTCGACATATATGGTTTTGAAGTATTTGAAAATAATAGGTATGCAACCGTTGTTTTATTTCAATTTTTTTTTAATTTAATTAGTTTTGAGCAATTATGTATAAATTATTGTAACGAGAAATTGCAACAATTATTTATTGAACTTGTGCTGAAACAGGAACAAGATGAATATGAAAGTGAAAATATTACTTGGCAACATGTCTGTTTTCATATGAATTATTGTTTTTGAAACCACATTTCTATCGATTTAGATTGATTATTTTAATAATAAAATAATTTGTGATCTTATTGAACAGCCACGCATCGGGATTTTCGCATATCTTGATGAGGCGTGTCAAATCGTAGGAACAGTTACTGATGATATGTTTCTTAAATCAATAAATACAGCATTTAAAAATCATAATCATTATTCCAGTTGGAACGTAAGTATTCTTATTATTATAAGTTGAATATATTCTTGAATAAGTCTTTATTTTTAGTTGACCCCCGGTGATAAAATATGGAAAAATATTGATACTAATAAGCTTTTTCTTGTTCGTCATTATGCCGGTATTGATTTTTCTAATGAATCTTCGTTCATTGTTTAGATTTCTGTTTATTGTAGGTGACGTTGCTTATTCAGTTGATGGATTTTTAGATAAAAATCGTGATACTTTATTTGATGATTTTAAACGTTTATTATTCAATAGTAAAAATGCAATATTATCTTCTATGTGGCCAGATGGTGAAAAAAGTATTACGGCTGTAACACGACGACCATTAACAGCAGCAACTATATTTCGAAATTCAATGATAAACCTATCGAATCTTCTTTCATCAAAAGTAAAAACAAAGAATATATATTCATCTTTATTTTTTAAATGAATATTTAGCAACCATTCTATATTCGATGTATAAAACCAAATGATGAAAAATCTCCAAATGTTTTCGATCTAACGCGTATTCAACATCAAATCGGATATTTAGGTTTACTTGAAAATGTTCGTGTACGTCGAGCAGGTAAATCTTTACTCAAGCAATCTTTCGCATATTCTGTGAATTACGATTTTTAATACAAAAGGTTTCTGTCATCGAGTACCATACGATCGATTCGTTCAACGGTAACGTCGCAAGAAAGAATAATCGATTCATACAGATTTTCTAATTCGATAGATATAAAATAATCGATTGTGTTCGAGCAAATTTATATCCAAATGGACCATTCAATAAAGAAAGCGTTGCTTATATATGCATGGAACTCGATATTAGTAATGATGTTGTTTATGGAAATACAAAATTATTTATTCGAAAACCGTTAGTTTGCAAAGCGTAGTTCACCGGAGTGTTTATTTTATTTTCTAGAATTTCATTATTTCAATTAGAAAAAAAACGAACAGAAGGTTTACAACCGATAATTACAATGCTGCAAGCAGTATGAAAATACAAAAATGTTTCTTTTCAATTTGCTAATTCTATTTTGCAGCATTTACGTTCATCGATACAATATAGGAAATTTCGTCGTGAAAATTCAGCAATTAAAATACAAAACTACTATCGCAGATATCGTATTCGAACCTATATAAATCAAATTAATGAGTTATTCAAGTATGTAGTCTACGTATAACACATGACCTCTGAAAATATTATCTTTCTTTAGTAAACATCTTGGTAAAAATATAATCTGGCCAAAACCAAGTTCACGTAGTTTAAAGACGATTCATAATCTATTCAAACAAATATATCAACGGTAACGAAATCCATTGTCTTCGCTCTAATAGATCTTTCTCGTCTTCATTTTCAATCAGATGGCGTATTTACAAAATACAACAACAATTACCAATTGAGCAAAGAGCTACATTTGAATTGAAATTACAAACTGGTAAATATCTTCAACAGCGATCATCATTTTTCGATATCAATATTTATCAAGAATGGAAAGGAGATTATCTAAATTTGGTCAGTTTACGATAACTATTTTTTATGAATTTTATGAATTTTATATTTAGTTAGAAGAAAATCCACGTTTAAATGAATATAAAAAATCTATCAATGAATTACGTACGAAAGATAAGTTTGATAAAATTATCTTTTCTACATATGCTATTAAGGTAGCAACAATCAGGAAACAAATCTTTATAAATCTATCGTGTTGTCTTTAGTTAAATAGTCATATTAAAATGGATGAACGTGCTATTGTTCTTACAGATAAATGTATCTATAAACTTGATCAAAAAAAACATTTTCATGTAAAAAAAACTCCTATTCCAGTCGATGAGATTATTGGTTTGAGTGTGACATCGGGAAAAGAACAATTAATTGTTATTCATCTAATGTCAAAACATGATTTAGTATTTTATATGCTAACAAAAATGGATCGTGTTGGAGAATTTGTTGGCTATATGGCTAAAATTAAAGAAAAATCGTATGTTTTCTTTAATCTAGTTGGAATATGTATTTATTTGAGGTGTTTTAGTACCGATTTTTCTGTTGATGTACAACGTTATGTTTCGACCAACATTTCTAAACATCAATATGTTATTAATATTATTTGGGATCATGTAAGCAAAGTTGAATTTCGTAAAGGTTCAAATAATAATATTTCATTGGTATTACCCGAGGAACGATGAGAATATTTTTTTGCAACAATCAAATGTCCGGTGGGCTTTCAATAGTCATATTTTTATGTGATTTTAAAATTTTGTAATTTTTGCATTAATAATATTTATTTAATAAATAAGAATAAAGTTTTCGAATGAAAAAGTGCCTGTTATGTCAGGATATATCTGTCCTCCCATAAGTATGTTCTCTCTTCTTCTCTTTCAGTTTCACTCTATCAGGTTTACAGCTATTCCATTTTTCTTCTCGTATCTGCTCTATTCAAGTGAGTGTTAATGTTTGAAGAAAGGGATTATTATTTCTTGTAAGAATGTAATAAGAAGGAGAGGCGAAAATAAAGAAGATTGCAACAGTATCAAATATGTTAAAAACTATCTTGTTCGTGCTTCAGAGTTTTTTAGAGTTGAACCGTTATTTCTTATTGATAGAGACATCTCTAAAGCATGTGTTGCAACGTCGGAGAGTACACCAAATATGTGCTATTTATCTTGCAGAACAATAACTCCCATTCATCGAACTCATGCTTCATGGTAGGAAGGTATGAGTGTTGGTGTTGTCGAGTCTTTCATTAATTCACATCCACACCCATACCCTTGCTGAATAAACATTTCTCTAACCTGACAAAAAAAATCTATATTTTCGTTTATCAGTCAGTTTTCTGTTCAAGTTAAATATTCAATCATATAATTATATGCAATATAACCAAGATCAGAGTTTGTGCGATCTTCACACCTAACTGTTTCAGGTATTTAACCTGTGATATTGTCTTATAGAGTTTTCTGGAAATATGAATAAAATAATTTAGCATCAATCCGATTCATAATAACATTCAGACTCATCAGAAGAGTAACGTTTCTCTGGTACAAAACAAAATCTTCTATCTTCTGTCTGCAAACGGTCTCGTAGTTTCCTCGAGATGCTGTTCATAGGAAGTATCAATTTTTGAAGTGTCTAAGTAGACCAATCAAGGTAAGCCAATGTGAGATGGTAAAACAAAGTTCGTTACCTTGTTGTGTTTCAAGCCAGAAGCCATTTGTTCTGCTCCATGATCTTGAATATAATTCGAGTCCATATCAAGTGTAAGAAGTGTCTGAATAAAGAACTCAAATGTCAATAAAAGTAAATTATATTAACAAAACAAATGACTTTATTGTTTCTTAAAATACCAGCTAAGTATTGTGCTCCGTTACGTCCAATTTTATTGCCAGTAAGATCTAATGTTGTCAACGTCTGTAACACGATTGAAAAATAAATTTCCGAATGAGCTGAAACTCTTACTGTATTATTTCTCAATGAATCAGCGAGATATTTCGCTCCATTATTTCCGATTCGGTTGCAGTTAGTGGTGGCACTTTCACTTTACTTTAAAAAAAAGTTAAAGTAATACTTTGAACTTTAATTAAAGTAAAACACTTTAAAACTTTAACTTTAATTAAAGTAAAACACTTTGACAGTTTAACTTTAAAAAAGTCTAAATTAAGGTCGATATATTGATAGAGTATTCGATGATCATTCTTGATTTTTGTCATAATCTCATCTTCGCATCTTTAAAAAATTATTTTTACAAAATACAACGAAATCGAATTGAATAAAGATGTAATTGCACATTGTACAATATAGAATGTAAATATAACAGGATTTACTTGTAGTTACGTGGTAAGATACTTGAGCTTTATCTGGATGACGAATTATCAAATAAAACTAAAACTTTGTGATTTTGATTCAACGATCGGAAAATCATATTATGAAAGAAGAAGGTTGTAATTAAGCGATCGGTTCCCCGCTGAAGAAATGGAAATAATAATCAGATTTTTGAGAGTATCGAGTCGAGATTTGTTCCACATGAGGCCAAGGGGAACAAACTGATTTCCAGCCATAGAAATCATCGGAAATCACTAGAAATCATCATACATTAAAGATGTGAATAACGACTCAGTTGTTAGAAATTACAAGAAACAAATGGAAATAAATGGAAATCACAGAAATGGTCGAACTATATAGTTCAAGAAAATATTTATTTCTATTGCTTACTGATGATTTTTACTAATTTTCAAGGGGGAACGAACAGATTTCTTGATTTCCAGTGATTTCTATGACTGGAAATCAGCTTGTTCCCTCTTGGGCTAGATACAAGTTTCAATTAGTTTCATTTCTCTTCCTTATCAGTATACACAATTTTGTCGCTGTTAACGCTCTATAGGTAGTCGTGATAGAGTGATTTCATAATCCCGTTACACCGGGTACCTACTTTTTCTCGAGGTAAACATATTTTATAAACATTCGGTGTATTACCCCTAGGGTGTCCACTTCGATATCCTAGAAGAAATACACCAAAACAACTCAAATTCGCAGAAGATGATTAATTCGAATTTGAATATAATTGATGCATATATTGCACAGTAAAACTTCGGAAAAACTTAAGGTACAGATATTGCTACAGGAAAAAGGAAATAATATAATTTTATCTGACTTGTATTTTATATAATTTGAATTTAGACATACATATTACTAAGGCTGAAATGCATAGCATAAATTATGATTCCTAGGAGCATGCCATGGATTCATGACAATGCGTAACATTGGTAGAGGGAAGCCTGTCGCTGC